TGAGAAAAGTGGCCAACGAGCGCACTGGAGAAAGAGCGGGAAACAATGCACCAAGGAAACACAACGGAAAGGCCAACCGCTGACGTGAGTGTCCCAAGCACCGAGAAGCCCGGATCGCCTCAATCACAAGGCCACCTGCTAGCATCAGCGCTCCGAGCCCATGGAACCTGTGAGCCCCGGAGCCAACTCGGCCAGGCACCCTGGAAAACCACCCCTTCAGAACGCCACGACGGTCGATGAGCTGCGGGTGACACCAGCACCGACTCCTATTATTATTAAACAGTAAATATTGTTTTTGTCTCGTCTCTCCTCGCCTCAGCGTGGGCCCACCACAGCATGTTTGCACCTCCCCTACGGGGGTTGTCAATCTCAAAGGTCACGTGATCCTCTATGCGACGGCAGGCGAACGTAGAGCAAAGCGGAAGTGTCGTCTCCTCCGCAATTTTTGCCAATGTAGTAGTTTGCTACAAAATCGTGTGGAAATTTGTGCAAGACAATGCAGGCAGGCAGCAATCTTGGATCTTTCGACATACATCGCAGCTAGGCATCGGAGATGCGGCGTGCGCTCGTATCGTAAACAAAATGTTCTTCCCAAGCTACAGCAGCGGCGAGACAAAATAGACTGCTCCCAGCTCTCAGCTCCAAGAAGCGCGCTGGGAAGTGCAAACTAGCGCATCCATGTTACGGTGATCACGTGGACGCCGTTGAGTCAACACCGGCAGGAGAAACTCATGACGTCATCATTCAATTCCGCTCCAAAAAGTAAAAATAAACAAAACGTGAGAATGAAGTAGACATGCCTCTGACGTAGTGGCTCAATGCTGGCTGCTCCAATTCCATGGCATTGACTGCGCTGATGATTTTGCCTCACGTCGCACGCTAGGGTAACAGATTTCGGCGACTCACGTCGCACGCTAGGGTTAACAGATTTCGGCGACTTGGCTCATTTGAAAGTTTGCTGGCCCAGATAATTAAATATATAGACGGAATTAAACCGATATATTTGACATGTGGTCTTCCTAGATGATACTGAAGAGGGCTGCATAGTTTTCTAAATATCAAAAATGAAGCAAAGTTGCCCATTAAGCAAAAAGCTGAGGCTGGCATGCAACCTCATTTGACAATTGAGCCAAGGCCATTGGACATAGCATGCTTGCTCAAAATGCTGGATAAGGGGCCACACCTTCTTAAAACAACAATGCATTGACATTTTGGGAAAAACAAAGAAAACTGTACACTTTAGTGCAAGAAGCCCTTGGTGTAACATCCACACAGGTGAGCATAGAATGGGCATTCTCAGCGCTCAAGTGAATTTTATTGGAACAGAGGTCTCGCATTTCACCGAGTATACTTGATGAAGGTTGCATCTGAAATCATGCTCAGTGCCTCGGACTGTTTTTCATTGCGATGCCTTTTACCCCGATTCTTTTATTAAGATGAGAGCCCTACATCTCTCTTCGTTCAGTTGACCTTGAGAAAACGTTGGCGATACGAAAGGTTCCAAAATCGCCAAAAGTATGTTGTCAGAGAGTGCACTATCTTCAGAGGTTCACTATCACCAGGACCAATGAAACGGCGCCAAAAGTATGTAGTCAGAGAGCGCACTGTCTGCGGAGGTTCGCTATCACGTTTACGTGACCACACAGGCAAATTAGAGGCAATGAAATTAAGAAGGATGACAAAGCGAATTAAGAGGAATCAAAGTGAATTAAGGAAATCACGTGTCTGTCTTTAATGCATCGGCGCTTGGGCTTTCGCCTTCAAGTCGCCTTAGGCATAACATAAGAGACCCTGTGGCTTTTTCCTATTGTTCCAATAAGAGCACACTTGCTAGAACTTTTTAATTATGGCACATACTTTTTGATAAAAAGTGTTTTGTTTTCTTTAGTTTTCGTTTTCAATTTTCTCTGCATGCCAACACAAAACATTACGAACAGTTACGGAACATAATTTTTTTCATTCCAAAGCAGAACCGGAATGGAACTTTTTCTATGAAACGAAATTGAACCCAGAACAAAAAAACATTTTGTTTCGTTTCAACACCTTGGTTTGTAGTGTTGTTGAGGATTTGGCAGATGTTTGTGTTGTCTGCCAGCCGAGTATGGGGTGGAAGTTCGTCATGTGGCACAAGCCAGGTTTTAACTGATTGGCCTTTTCCGGCCAGAGGTAAAAAAGGTTAACTTCTGCAGAAGCTAGCGAGCTGTGCGAGAGAGAGTGTGATTTTTGGTGTGGACCTGAACGCTCACCGCACGTCAATGATGTCCTAATCCCAAACTTTGTACAAATACTTAGATGTGCATAGTTTGTAAAACTAAATTCTACCAAATAAAACTTCAATAATATCATCGTCTGGAATGCTACCGATTTGTCCCTGTCCCCTGCTTCAATGTTAACACCACGGAAAGCATGTCTTTTCTCACACTCGGTAAATTTCAAGCACCATGGAGAGTTCCCAACTAATAATATTTCAAATGTCCATGGAGAAAATTTCAATTTTCTCCATGGACCGTTAGTTCCATGGAGAGTTACCGTATTCAAGGCGATAAGCAGGAGCAAGGCATCGAACAGATCTACCGCTTGTGTGAGAGCTGCCGGCCAGCAAGGTTTTGGATTGGACCGCGTTTCAGTTCTATCAAATCAAAATTGTCTTGCGGGAATGCGGTTCCAACTTCTAACAATGAAGTACTCAAAGGAATCTTTGGCTCATTTGTTTTCAACTGGCTGATGTCCAGATCCCGAGCCACAGAGCCTCAGGCAATCTGACGCTTAACGACTCGACCTCACCTCGGCCGACTTGCTTAACTGCTTATGGTTGAAGTCTTCAAGAATAACAATCCAGTCGCAGGTGGTGTAGCACATGGAATCCGACCCGCGAGTTTTTTTTCATGCGCTTCTGACTTGAGATACACAGGAAAAATAAACAGAACAAAGGATTGCAAGGCCGACCAAGCTAAACGCGCTCACTGTTGCCAATTGAGTCGACAGAAACCGAAACCAAGACAATATAAAATTTTTTTGCCGCACGTTCTGCAATTTGGTGCATAACGGCGCGAGGTATTGGCTGTGGCGCAGTTTCCGCAATATGGCGCAGAAAAATGTGTCTGGCGCAAAATGGCGCAGCAGTTCCACCCCTAAACTTTCCATAGCTGCACCCCTTAGGCATTCTGCTACATATCAAACGAATAAAAATCTTGAATATTGTGATAGCTTTCCAACGATAGATTAACTAAACAATGTAGGCGTATTGCCGATTGAAGCTGCACTAATTTCCTTCCTATTTAACCGACAGACCTGAAATTTTGTTATGCACTTTTAGCATGACCACCAGCCTACCCTGTAAATTTCATTATTTTAAACCAAGGGTCAGTGTTGGGTAAGTTACTTTTAAAAAGTAATTTGTTACAGTTACTTTCAGAAAAAAGTAGCGAAGTTACCGTTACAGTTACCGCAACAAAAGTAACTCGTTACAGTTACTTTAAAAAAGTAACGACGTCACTTTTCAGTTACTTTTTTATAACACAAAAAAAAAATAAAAAAATTAGGAAAAACTAGAAAATGCCCCCTCACCAAGTCTTATTGCATAAAATTAAAAAGTATGATTTTTACTTCATATTGTAACTTAGCAGAAGTTGCTTCTCGAAATTAGTGTTTGAAAATTTCCACGCCAGAGTAGTGGCGCAAATCAAAATACGAAACATGCGCACTGCGGAGTACTGGCGCTAATCAAAATACGAAACATGCGCAGTGCCCTCCGCGTGTATTGTTGTTTCACGGTAGATTCACCTGATTAAAAAGTGTTTTCACAAAAAAAAAGAAAAATCACAACATAGATAGTGCTTCAAGACACTAAGACGTAAGTGTTCAGTCACAAAGTACAAGCGCGTGCGTAAAGATAACTATATTTTTTTTCATGAAATCTACACGATGCTATATTCGGGTCGTGACTCGTGAGAAAGAATGTATATTCCCAAGTTTGTGCAAGGCCAACTTGACGCTCGAAATGTCGGAATAGACGATTTGAAAAGTGCAAGGAATATCTAAATTGTACTCGTTCAATGATATATTATTCATAAAACACTGGAAAGTAACGACAAAAGTAACGTCGTTACTTTCATCGTTATCTCAGAAAAAAGTAATGGAACTGCAGTTAAAGTTATATTTTAAAAAAGTAACTCGTTACAGTTACAAGTTACCAAAAAAGTAGTGAAATTACAGTAACGCGTTACTACCCAAGACTGCCAAGGGTTCAAAAGTTGACCCTCCTAGGGGGTGTTCCCCTTAAATAAAATTTTGGCACTCTATGAAATGATTAGAACGCAGCTAAGGCTTCTTTTTTTAAAATTATTTTTGTATAACTGATATACTGTAACATTTTCGCATGAATTTGTAGGGTATGGGCTGCATCAAACAATATTTTTTGGACTTTTTGGCTTTCCATACATCATGCAATTCAGGGGATGTCAAATGAAATTTTATCTTAAATCACTTGGAAGTATGATCTTTGCAGGAAGGAAATGCGTTCCATGGAGGCTTTGGGGTGCAGGGCAATCTAAACCTGTGCTAGCATTGCAACAACACTTCCGTTTCCCTGCATCCAACTTGAACTTGAGGAACAAGGAGTTGCTTGAGGCTCAAGAAGTGTATGTGCCTACATTTTTAACACAGAAAGTATTATATAGCTGGCACCTAGCAGTTTCCTATAATGCACTTATCCTGTAATGGAAGAGCTTCACAGGAGCTTTGGCAGAGCTTTTTTTCAGATTCATCACGGGCAACGATGTTCGCACTGTTGAGGCACAAAATGCGCACCAAGTTTTCTGTGCTACCACTGCCTTTGCCATGATTATGTGAAAAAGGTAAATTTTTTAACAAAAAAAAAAAAAAAAAAAAAAGAACAAGAACAAAAAATTGCCGAGAAAGCCCTCTGTAGATCCATAGATGGGTTAAAATGTGTCTGATAATACAAACAGTCTGAAACAAATGATGCAGAGGCCACTTGCCATTGACAACATCCTTGCTCTTGTTGGCAGTGTCATTGGATTCATCGTTCGAGGACTCCTCTTTGGGCTGCAACTGGGAAATATCGCCCACAATCTCAAACTCAATGCCTTCCTCCAAGTCCTCTCTGCGAATTGAAAACAGAGCAATGTGTTAATCAAGGTGCAATACAAAGTACAATACTCAGTACAAACAGGAGGCCGGAGGTGTACTGCTGTGGCCACACTTTCATTTGTTCCCCTACTGCAGTGGTTCTCAACCATGGATGTTTTGCGGAACCCTTGTGGATGGGCGGAGATGATGAGCCCCGTTCGTGGTGAGGGGAAGGCAAATGTATAGGTTAATTATGATAATGATTTATATTGCAGACCCCTTGTGAATCGGCGGAGATGGAAGGCTCCGTTCGTGGTGAGGGAAAGGCAAATGTATAGGTTAATTATGATAATGATTTAATAAATGGATATAACTAAGAGCTGTGTGAAGTAGACTTCTCTTTTTGACAGATACACGAAAAAATGTTTCTTCTGAATCTGGAGAAAGACACCTTTTATCGCCGGGCTTGACTGATGAGGCTGGGCTTTGCGAACCCCTAGAATGCCTTCGCGGAGCCCCATTTGAGAACCACTGCACTACTGCATAAGAGTTGCCATTAATCACCCGAGGTTCGCATTTAGAAATTTTTTAACCTTGCCAAGGTTTGATTTGCAAAGTCCCAAGATATACTAGAAATCAAAGTTTGAAGCTTCTGAAGTTCTTGAATGTTCAAGCTAAGATTATAACAAACTTCGTCTGAAATCAACAGCTTCAACTTTTTTAAAAACCATTATGAATGAAAATGTTCAAGTTTGAATCTTGGAACTGACTCGTGGAATTCTAAAAAGGTTTATGAAGAACCAGTATCCACAACATACCTCAATTTTTGCAAGCATGTTGCAAATGGATTATTTAGTTTGTAAGAATAAAAACGCAAAAGAGTAAGGACAGATGACCACTCTCATGGAAGAGAGTGGTCGTCTGTCTTTGTCCATTGTGTTTTTAATAGGGATGTGCGAATAGTGAATTTTCACTTCGAAGCGAATACGAAGCGAATAATTAATTTCAACGAATAGTTTCGAATTGAAGCGAATAATTTCAAAGCGAAGCGAATAATTTGCATTTGCTAATTTAAAAGTGAGAAAATTTACAAAATAGAACTTGAATAATTTGCACATTGATATGGCTTAGCTATCCGTGTCATCTTCAACATGTTTTCTAGGCTACCATTTAGATTTTATTTTAGATTTATTTAGATTTTTATAATTTACATCTGCCCATTTATATTTTCGGCCCGCGAGACAGCCTCCATCCGGCCCCTTAGCCAAAAAGTTTGGAGACCCCTGGCTTAGAGCATCGTGATTTCGACTTTTGAATGACATTTCAAGACCGTGTCAGACTTAATTCCAAGAAAACAATTACGGTATTCGAGAGGTATCGTAACTATCAAAATGAGGATATTTTCCAAATTGGAGAAACTATCGGTATCACCATCATTATTTTCTACGCAGGGCAGCTCAGTAACGGTAGCAACGGCGTACGCGCTAGATGTGCAGCACGTGGGAAATTAGTTTAAGTGTACTCGGAGGCAAGAGGAAAAAAATAAGTCAGGCTCTGGCAATCGTAGCACACGGTCACACAGTTTCTGACGGGAATGTCATCTCTTGCGGCTCTCAAGAACACAGTTGAAGCTAAAACGAAACTAGTTCCCTCCGCCATCTTCGCTTGCTTGGTGGCTTGCCGGCTAGCCGGGATTGTTTAAGCGGCAGCTCGGACGCCTAAACCTATTCCTTCCCGGAATGTTTGCTGCCACGATTCTTTCTGGGCGCCACCCCCTGCACTCCGAAACAGTAAGTGCCTCGCAAACGCGGTCGGCGGCAGCAGTCCCGTAAATAGGTGCCATTTTACCTCCGTTGGGGAAGTCCGTTCAGTTGAACTGAGGTTTGATTAGCGGCTCGATGAAAGTTGGAGCCGCTGTTTAACTCCGGCCGATTGCGATTGAGACTCAATGGCAGTTGAGAGCACTCGTGTAACTAGGGTTATTAGCTTACATCTTTTGAATAAGGTTATGGTTTGCACCGTGTTCAAACTTCGAAATACTTCGAAAATATTCGAAGTTTCCGAATAGTACTATTCGCTTCGAAGTCCGAATCGAATATGGCATTATTCGCTTCGATATTCGAAGCTTTCGAATATTCGCACAACCCTAGTTTTTAATCTTTCAGATCATCATACAATGTACACCTATCTAGTTTTTTTTTTTTTTTTTTTGTCCAGATCACACCTTCCTTGTCCTTGTCGTGCACTGAGCAATAGTGATGTTTGAAAATATGTCCTATACCCCCCAAGATAAAGAGAAAATTAAGCATTAAGGCAAACACCCTACCTTACTGTAAACTTCATAAATCTAATTAAATGCTATCTCCCCTCCCCCCCCTCAAAAAAAAAAAATAAATAAATAAATTTTTGCAGTTTTATGTGCCAAACCAACGAAGAGCATCTGGCATGCCCCAGCGAAAGACTAGGGATGAATTTTGGCTACCTGTGTATTGTTTGACGTGCAACCAAACTCTCTGCCACCCCCACGGCACCTTCTCTGCAATAAGCCTCATACATACAGAGGGCACTTCGGCCGAGATTTGAACCTGCCAACTGGGGATCTGTGGACCAGTGCTTCCAGGCGGCTCTTAAAGGGGACCTGCAACAACCTTTTGGCTGGTTTTTAATTTGCACCGAACGTAGTAACTTAATGAAACTTTTCTTTTCTCAAATTTCGCTTTATTTTAAAAGTTATAGGCTACTTAAAATTACAAGAACAAGCAAAAAATAACCTCCTTCATGACGTCCTTGGTACTGGCTTGGGTGGCTGTCAACAAGAGGAGGGGTAGTGAGCTCAGCGAGCGCACACGGCTGCCGCACTCTATGTCGACGGCTCGAGAGGACGCCACTAAAGCATGTGCAGGATAGGCTGGATGAAGCGGGTGGCCAGAGCAGCTCGCATTGCATTTGCTGCGCGACTAAACACTAATTTGGCATGATACTTCATTTGCCACAAACGACAGCAAACACGGGGTAAAGATCAGTTCAGACCAAGAGCCACTTCGCGCTGCCAAACCGCCAAGCCGCCAAACCTGCTCGCCGAAGGCCTTGGGAGCGGTCGGAACCGGCCGGATCTTCGAGCCAACACAACCGCAGTGCTGCCGTGTACATACGGGACTTTTCCGTGTTGGCACCTGATCCCACTACCCCTTTCTAGTATGCGCTGCCTTTTCCACCGCTTGGTGGCGGGCATGTCGACGGGTCATTTTTTGTTTCCGTACTTTATAAACTGCATTTGTTTCTTTTCTGATCAAAAATACTGAACAAAAACTACTTTCATAAATAATTTAAACGGTTCACGCAACTTATATTTTGTATTTCGACTAAAAAAAAAAGAAGCTTTTAGCGGCTCTGACAGTAGTAAGGCCAGGACCAAAAACGTCATGAAGTCGTCACATATCGCGCGCTTTCGGCACCACGGGTCGCCCTCGTAGGTGGAGGGGGTTTCTCAACGTCCGGTTAAAATATGACGCACTGATATTTAGTTACTCTCTCCGTGCCCGCTGGCTTGCCTGAACCCCAAGAGATGTGGAAACCACAAAAAAGGTAGCCGCTTAAATATGATTACAGGGCCCCTTTAAATGCTGCCAAATGCAATGATCTAAAAGGCTTTTGCAATTTCTTCAAATATGGCAATATGGGGAGAATTAAGTCACGCAACTTAAGGCTGATAGTAAACAGTTCAAAGAAGAATATGGCTAAATGCTCTTGGGTTCCATAAGCAGTGGCAGAAGTTTATTCCATTAGGTTAAGGGGGACGCTGGCTAGAGATTTATCTTCTGAATTACTCAAGTGATCGGAATGGAATTTGCTGGGGAGATTTAACGTCAGATGTAGGTGTACTGTGCAAACTTTCAGCTCTCTCGGACAACTTTACATACCTGCATAAGAAAATGTATCACACTTCGTTAAAGGACACATGCAAAGGAAAAAAATTGTTTCTTTAAACAGGCAAGGTGGAAAAATAATATTATAAAACAAATTTACAAAGAAGAAAGGAAAAATTTAGAGCTATATTCACGGCACAAAACGAATTTGTAGTTAGCGCCGCGAGAGCCGCCGCTGGTCACGTGGTAGGCCTGTGCGCCGCTGCGCTGTGTCGCCGCCGCCGCGAAGTCACGCCGCCGCCGCACGCAGATTGTTGTGCGACACCACTTTGACGCATTTCTCCACGCTGCCGCCGCCGTCATCTGACCGGCGCACAGGTCTATCACGTCTGCTTGCGCTTTTTCAAGAGCTTCCTTTGGGCTCTAAAAGTTACTTATTAATCTTAGTTTTTTGTTATACTTCAAACAAAGATGAATAAGTTACTTTTGGAGGCCATAGGAAGCTTTCGAAAGAGTGCAACCACCACGTGACAAATAAGGGCCAGTCACGTGATAAATAAGGGCCAGTTTTCCGTGGTGCCCGCAGGCGCCAACTACAAATTCGTATGGCGCCAAAAATATAGCTCTAAAAATTTTTTTTCTTCGTTGTAAAATTGTTTTATGACACCCTTTTTCCATCTGGCTGTTTAAAAAAAAATGTTTTTTTCCTTTGCATGTGACCTTTAATAAATTATGATATACAAATGAAGTTATTAAGAGCCATTTTGGAAGCTAGAATATAAAGTGGGGGATGTGGGACTTTGGGCTATCTAGTTTTTATCACTCACATGTAAATATTTCGGGAAGAGTGATTACCTAAAAATATGAGATGCATATCTGTCCTATGTCAATTTTATGAAACAGTTTTTTTTCGATGAGGACTTTAACTTAAAACAAAATAAAGTAGATAGCCCAATTCCCTGGTAAATTTCAGTTCAGAAATATCTTGATTGTGGCATCAGAATACTTTTATCTTTGAAAAAAAGATTCCTCCATATGAAATTTGCAGCAAAAAATGAAACTGAGAAAAATGCATTCAAACATTGAACTCCTTTACTTTGTTACTGCCTCACAATGTGTTGAAAATATTTTATATCAACGTAACTATTTGGAGTATGGTTATCAAATTTAGTGTATAATTAGTTTCTAAAACAAAAAACCTCAAAATTAAAAAAAAATGACTTTTTTCAAACAAATGTGACATTTAAGCCCATGCCCTGGAAATTGAAGTGGAACCCAAATAAATGAGAGAAAAATCAGCTCACTTGTGAATGACATTCAATGTCAGCTGGAAATTTTGGAGGAAGTCGTCGCAGCGTAATCTTGAACCATGAACCACTCCAAGGTCAGCAAGGTATTTTTCATGGTTTCCTGCGAAGAAAGCATAGATTTTGAAAATTAATTAAATGCCAGAGCTGCTCCATGAAACATTGGGCTTGTAAAGGGGTGAGGACGTTTGAAGCAGAGCATCAAACCAAACACAAACCGAAAACTGAATTAAAACCATTATTTTTGACTGAACCAGGACATAACTGAAACAAAACATTTAAAATTGAACCAGAACGAAACCCTAATAATGAGGAGGAAGACTCAAATCCTTTCAACATAGCGGATGGAGCAGGTCAAGTCTGAATGAGCAGTAAAACCTACAGTGTGTCACCCCCAAGACTTTCTATGTCTTTCACCGCAAAAATGAACTATGCATCGCCAAATGCTTATTCTCCACCCAAATGTAGCGCTAGCAGTCTGAGCCACATGCCAAGTTCCAGAAATAACCGTTTTTTCAATAAAAAGTTATACAATATTTTTCTTAAAATTTTAGTGGGAAAATGGGGCCCGTTTTAAGAAACTGGCTCCACTTAGCTTCCTGTATCCGAGAGCTCCATCACTTCACTTGTAACTTGTGAATCACAGTTTGTTATGAAACTTTGGCATCTGGTTCGGACCCCTAGCGCTACCTTTGGGCAGAAAATGAGGGTTCGGCGATGCAGTTTATTTTTGCGGTGAAAAAAAGCCGGTAAATTTTTTTTAGACACCCACACGGGAGCGCAATGCACTTAGTCCCAATCAAATGCGTGTATGACCCAAGCCTTTTATTTTTTTATCAATACTACCTGGCCCAAAGGGCCCTGGTAGGAGGTCAAACCGTTCCCAAGTTCCCGTGCAGTTTGTACACATATGCGAAGTGCCTTCGGTGAATCGTTCGGAGACAAACCGTTTGTCTCAAAATACTTACTAAAACTCTATCCTCATGTGATGGTTACTGGTTCAATGGAAAATGGTTAGCCGGTATTGGAGATACAAGCTGCACTTGTTTTTGTGGGTAGCGGCGAGAGGTCAATTTTAACATTCAAGGCGGTGGCGTCGGCAACACGCTGTTGCCTAAATAAACAGCAGCGATGTGGAGACATATCGATGATAATGGAACAAATAAATAAATTTCACGTCTGTGTGCTGCATGACCTGACGTCGGTGTGAAGGCGCACAGGCTAAGCCAAGAGGACAAAGAGCTATTTTAGAGCGCAGCTCTTAGGCGCCCGTTTCCGGGTTGAGCAACGTCGGCGTGACTGCACGTTGCATTATGGGACGCTTCCCATATTGATGTCACCGGGGTCACGAGGAAGAGGGAGGAGGAGAAATGCGAAAAAAATTCCCCACTGATTCACCGAAAAAATCACCCGCTAAATTTAGTGGATAAAATTCCCCATTAAATTTAGCAAGAAAAATGCCCCGTTAAATTTAGCGGGAAAAATTTCCCGATAGATTTAGCAGAAAAATTTCCCCGCTAAACTTAGCGGGAAAATTTCCCCGCTAAATTCAGCGGAAAAAATTCCCCGCTAAATTTAGCGGAAAAATTTCCCCACTAAATTTAGCGGAAAAATTTCCCCACTAGTTTTAGCAGAAACAATTCCCCGCTAAACTTAGCTGGAAAATTCTCCCGTTAAATTTAGTGGAAAAATTCCCTCCCCAACTTTAGCGGATAAATTTAGCGGGAAATGTAGCGAAAATTTTCCGCTACAATAGACAACTTCTCGCCACTTTTGATAGCGTTAGCGGTCTGACCAGGATGGTGTAGGCTGACTTACTCTTTCCTTTCGATTGCTCCAGGATACCCTGCATGACTTAGGTGCTGCAGAAGACACCGAAGACCAAAGACGGCGGAACTGATGCCAATTTCGAAAAAACCAGACACCCCCCCCCTCCCTCAACCCCCTTACCCCCACAGTGGCCTTGTGCCATCCTCCCTCCCAAAGGATCAATAAATAAATAAATAAAATGGGAGGGGAGCATGAGAGGAAAGGAGGAGGGGCATGCCCAACCCTCCTCCTCCTGCTCCTCAAGAGCTGCGCTCTAATTCGGCATTACAGGGACTTGTAAACGTCATTTATCTTTTTTGGCTGTTTTATTGCTAACTTTACAATGCTCTTCAAGTAAAGAGAAGGTGACCATACAAATCTAACATAAAAGACCAAGAAAACTGAGTGCCTTAAGTTTGAAATTCATTTAAAGTTGGGAGACAGAGAATGCGCAGCGTGTTATGAGCTGCCCAGGGGGTTTACCTACGAATGTTTCCGAGCTTGGAAGAGATGCTGCATCTTCTGCTTTATACAAAGGTTAAGGAAACTTAATACTTTTTGCAACCAACCCACATCATTAGTGACAATAGGTCACATGATTGCGTGGTTGGTCCAATATTATCCTATGGATGTTGCAACTATGGGTCACAGGACCACAAATAATGTCATGCAACCATGTAAGATGACGCAAATAGACCACGTGAAATGATGCCACAGGGCAATGTGAAATAACGTCACGTGACACCACCTGCATCACGTAACATATAATGATTACACAATCACATAACTCCTCCTACCATTAGGACGACAAAAAGTTTTGCGAAAACACGAGTACAGTCGGGAGCAAAAGTTTGCGGGGCACGGGAGTGCCAGACGAAAAGACTGGCTGCACCTTCTCACGGTGCGTTGCCGCTCTCAAGACTCGCGCCTTGCGCACGAGCTTCCTTTCTTGTTCTCGGTCATGTTTTTTTCGCTCGCTTCCGTTCGACACCCACGAGATAACAGGGACTGGCGCAAGGTGCCGCAAAATGTTATCTGTAGCATGCGCGAGCTCCGTCACTCCTCACGGTGGTTGAGGCAGACGCGCCAAATGATGGCTGTCACAGCGGCACCTTGCGCCGGTCCCGGTTATCTCGTGCACGTCGGGCGGAAGCGAGTAAAAAAGGTAGGACTTTGAGCACGAAAAAAAGCACATTCTCGAAGCGTAAATCTTGAGAGCGGCCGCGCACCGTCAGAAGGCGGAACCAGTCATTTCGGCTCATGCTCCCGCGCCCCGCAAACTTTTGCCGCCGACTGTACATAGTCACTGTAATAATGCTCATCGAAGCCACTCCGCTGGTGCAGGGGAAGGTTATAGGATTATGGAGCGATAGGTCTGCGATTCGATTTATGCCGGGAAAGGCATTTTTTTAAATAAGCCTGATTGTATTATCTCATCTTCGTAATGCTCTAGGCATGGAAACCAGCCCTAAAACACATTCTGTGTTAAAATCGACAGGCTGTCAGATTGTTTTATAATGGCACAAACTGAAGGCACCACCAAGAAAAAAGTAAAGCCAAAGTAAAGTAATGAAAAAATTTACACAGGTGCCAGGCACTGGGACAACAATGCATAGAGCTCTATACATTGATTGAATTTTTTTTTTTTTTTAATGTGAAACATTTTTTGGCTTGGTGTTTGTCATTTTGAGGCCCAGATAAAAGCATGGCCGTAAGGCTTGACACTGATTGGTTGGTGAGTGGGAGAGGAGGAGCGAGGTGCTACTGATTGGTTAAAGGATAGGTGGCAGTCTGATACTTTACACCCATGTTATGGATTAAAAAAACTGTGCGGGATGGCCAACAAAACACACTTTCGTGTAAGGCTCGTCAAATTCCGAGGCGCTGGAGAAAACCAGCCTTCTGCGTTAAGTCCTTATTTCAAGCTCTTTTTGTTCGCGTTCCGCCCATTCATAACCTTGCGGGAAGCACCTCAGCATGCACACCTTGTATCGCTGCGCCGCAATGTTCTTCCGCAGCAAAATGGCCGTCTACTTTCATCGCCGTCACCATGGCAACGAACGCTGAATGACCTTTCCGGATGGCGCGTGTATCACTGGGGAGCATGTTAACGCCGCCGCCGAACACCCGGCCTGCGTTTACGCCACTTCGCGGCGACAGTCTGCGGCTGCTCATTACACTTTGGCTAGCATACGGCATTCAGAAAATCGGCGTTCGTTGCCATGGTTATGGCAACGAAAGCAGACGGCCTTTATGCTGCAGAAGAACACTGCAGCACAGCAATACAAGGTGCGTGCTGAGGCCCTTCCCGCATGCTTTTTAATGGGTGGAACGCGAACAAAAAGAGTTAGAAATAAGGACTTAACGCATAAGACTCGTTTTCTCCAGGGCCTCATAATTTGACAAGCCTTACACGAAAATCATGTTTTTAGACCAAAGTTTGGAGATATATTTTTTACAACATGGGTCTAAGGTATCAATGTGCCGGGAAGGTCATGTGACCAGAGGGGTTGGCAAGGAGGAGCTCGACAATCTGTGCGCACTGAGAGAGAGCAGCTCGAAAGTATGGAAGGTTCTGGAAGATCACCAGGTGTATCAGCCCGATTAGCAGTAGCATAACTTCATTCTAGGAACTATCAAGTGTACACATGGTATGTGTTAAACTATCTGATGAAGAGAGCCGTGAAAGTAGACGTCTGGAAACTCGGAGTATCACTAAACGTTTGTGATGCTAGAATGTTTCAAAGATGCAACACAACTGCCTAGCAATTTGCCATAAATTTTTCTTTTCATCTATCAAACACAGCATGCCACCTGCCCCCTTATCTCTCCTTTCTTGTTTCAATCATCCTTCTACTGCCCTTACTGTCCGTGTTTTCAGCTCAATCATTTGAAACGGGTAGTTGGCAAGTATGGTGGATGCTGGTTGATTGACCTCGCATTCAAGTACTGCACTTTGGTACTGTTTCCAAGCGCCTGTACGAACACATAATTTGCAATGGGGTTTGAATAAAGTCAAGCTCACAAAACAAAATGATGCATGTAGGTACTTCTGTTGCCCCCGATTTCACAGCATGGCCTCTGATTTGCAGTTTTGTAGTATTTGAAGGTGAAAGCCTTAGTTGCCCCATTACGCAAAAAAGCGGCGGAGTAGTGCCCGAAAGATGGTCACACCAATACGCCATCAAGCACACTCCTCAGAAATAAAACACAAAGAAAAGCACAGCAACACAGAAGCTTCGTCACGGAAGCCAGCGCTTCAAGGTCAAAGCGGACGCGCCTCAGAAATAAAACAAAGAAAAGCAAAGGAATGCTTCGACACGGAAGCTGTCGTGAAGCCGGCGGGGTTCGCCGTGAATGCGTAGTGGGGAAGCGTGATGTCATCGCCGGAGCGCCGTGTGAAAAAGGAAAAGCATGGCGCGCTGCTTGTAAAAATGCGCTGGGAGTAGGAATGTTTCCACATTCCTACACATAAGCAGTCTTAACTGTCTCTGCCAAATTTTGTAATGCAGATGATGAAGAATCAATCACACATTTTTCTTTTTAGCAAATGGGAGCTATGAAGTTTTGGTTGTTTAGCAAAGAAAATATTAGGGTGGCCACAGTTCAAGGTAGAGTTATGAACTCGCTTGCGCTTGGTGGAACTGGTAACCAAACCAATATTTCACACTCATGGCTGGACCGCAACCGAACTGGAACAAATTACAAAGCTACTGAACCAAAAATGAAAAATGACGGGTTTGATACCTTGGTCGCTAGACAGAATGGGCGAGAATAATACTTGCCTTCAGTTTCTCCTTCTTCGCTAGATATTAAAATAGTACCTATAACAAAAAAAGAAAAATTAAATAGGTTAAGGGCGAAATCTGAAGCTTCTGCTGATGCTTAAAAACAAACTACTGCCATTGCTAGCTGTGGTAAACTAGTGGAGAACAGACCCTTTCCGTCATCAATTTCAACATCCGGTGCAGACATCTGGATCTGCTCTTTCAGGATCTGGAAGTGACAGAACACAATGGCATCTAGTCGCTCTAAACTCACTCAAGGTGTCTTGATGGTGCAAGGACGAAGACCACGCACCTTTTCTTCCAAAACTCTGAGAGTTGTCTGCTTTGTGTTCAGGTTGACATAGACCTGACAGAAAATGAAAACACCCACTGATGTCCTTCGTTTGCTGGCCCATACAATGTTAACATATAGTATACCCGGCTCAATAAAAACAAACTCGCACCAATGTAAGAAGTTGGTAATAAGTGTCAACTTCTGCAAGTACCTTCATCACTGCGGTCCTAGTCCTGCACGAGCACTGGAGCCTCCGAGGAGCATCCGAGAGTGCATTCCCACTTTCCCACTCGGTCTTTCTAAATTTACTACCTCTCAAATATAACAGTGATGAGGTGCTTTTGACAGATGGCCCCAAAGATTAGCAAGGAACATTTATATAATCTCGAAGGGGCAAGCAGGAAATATCTAGTGCAGTGGTTTAAAATGGGGTTAAGCGCAAATCAATCTTTGGGGTCTGCGAAGCCCTCGCTTCAACCCTCAACCCCTCAATTCTTAAAAACAAATTTGTGTTGCTGTTCATCTTGGGTAGATGGCGAAAGCTACCGCCTGGAATAAAGGGTACAGCCATTACCATCTATTTATTCATTCATCCTTTTACTTGCTGTTTCTCACTTCTGTCCAAACAGTAAAGGATGCCCTCTTCACGTTACAATTAGTGGTTAGACAAAATCGCTCCCAACTAAAAATGCCCATGCACGCATCGCCTTAACATTGGCTTTTCATGTGTTTTTTGTTTCATAAGTAAGCACTCTTTTTGCGTTGCAATCAAAGGTCTCCCATACAGTGTAACCCTTCCAAGCCCCAACTGAAAACTCTACCTCAGCATTTGATGAGCAGGCATAACACTTGGGGTTAGGAGGGACCATCTGGGTTGGAATGACCAGCTGCTTCTTGAGTGTTGGCTGCTGATTCAGGTACACCTACAGGTTGGAAGGACACTTGTGATTAATAAAACCCAGTTGGAAACAACAATACATACATACAAAATGTAAAAAGTAAAAAAAGGTGCAGTGACGGGAAAAATAAGAGCAAAAAGATTAGAGGCTAGCTGCATTAGGAGGTTGGTGTCATAACAACAGTGTCAGAGTTGCGAGCAATCGAAAAAAATCCAAACCAGTGAAATCACCCCAACTTGAAACTTTCACATTTGCATTCTGAGCAGCGTTATTTTGGGCAAAGATAAACCAGTGCCAAACAGGAGCGTGCGCAGCAAGGATGGTACCACGTCGGGAGCTTCACTCAACACAAGAGGTATAAAAGAGTGTTCCAAAGGACGTACGGCACTGCATTTTTCTTGTTTTCCTTGGAGGATTTTGAATGCCTGGAGGACAATGAGGCCAGCAATAATTGCATTGGTGGTTGCAATGGCAGGGATGATGTTACCTGCCATAGCTGCAGTAAAAGAAAAAGAAGAAAAGAAGAAAAAACAATATGCATCTCTGTATATACAAGATGTCACATTCGAAAGCTTGAAAGGCCCATTCACACACTCACGTTCAGAGCGACTGCTACGGCTATGAACAAATCCAACTGGTTGGGACGGACAGAGCGACTACAACAACGGACCAATCGTCAGCCGAGGAAAGCTCGGCTGACGTTGCACGCCGGCCATGGTACCTGCTATATGCTGAAAAACATTATCTCACTGGTGATCGTGAACGTGGTCGGCGTGCTGGAAGCTCAACATTCCACGTTGAGCGCTATCCTTGACTGAATTCTTGTCGTACGTCGCAATGGTAAGCCAGCACGTCCTAGAAGAGAGCATCCACTTACTCGCGCCGTCGTGTTTGTCTACCTCAACTACAGTGGTCCTTTCTTAGCAATTGTCTCCTCGAACATGGCCCGGATTTTTTATTTTGAGTACTCCGGGCACGTGCTCGAGTTCAAGGTACTACTGGAGCATACCGTCTTCGAAGATGTGTCCGAAGGATGCGAATTTTCGCCCGTTTTCATCATCTGAGAAGAGGGATTAGTAGTAAAAGCATTTCTGAACGCTTGCACCGTCTGTCTGATCACGAAATCACATCTCTACGTTGCTAGAGCTCCTAAACCTACAGTCTTCTGTAATCGTAGAAAAAGGGTGCGGCGAGATTTGCATTACTGCTAAAGTAGCGTGTTAAAGTCGTAATCGTCCAAGACATCATTTTCTTTTCTATTTTCATCCAGTAAACCCCATAAGCCCTACAATGAAAAAATAAAAATTAACAAAGCTCGAGGCAATAGAAAACCGTCTGCCCATTTTCTTTTAAGCCAGTGAGTGGTACCGTGCCCCTTCTTCCTCAATTGATAAAACACTTAGGGCCCCTGAAAAGAAAAAATTAACAGCTTGCGCACTCCAGGTTTTGTTTGCTTTCTTTGAACAGAGGTCCAATTTTAGCGTAGAAATGATGGAAAACAAACAGCCTTTCCACCCTCATTAAGAAAGAAGACTAGCGGAGCTGTACTCGACATACTGTGTGCTTCTTCTTTGTCGCCGTCTGTTTTTCGCGCTGTTTCCTACGATGAATTCCCACCAACCAGCCCAACTATCCATTCTTCTATTATAGCTGGAAAAGCTGCCGCCATCTACGAGCTTTGGCGGAAACCATACAGGTTGTGTGCTTGCCACCGTCGCTTATAGACGGCGGTAGATGTCCAGGTAGGTTTGTGTCGACATACACGGACACGATCCTGGGGAACCTAGCCCTTAACAGCTCCGCTGTAAAAAGATTTATTTTAAGGAGTCTGGTTGGTGTTGAAAAATTAATTTTATGCGGAAAACAATTTTTTTTAGAAAATATTGAAGGCGCGAGACACGATTTAGTTGGTAGTCACCTCCTTTCCACTTGTTTTCTCTCTCAGCATTTCGGGCGAGTGGAGGAGAGGCGGATCGGCATGGCCATCCCGTTGAGGTGAAGTGTATGACCATTCCGCGACGTCATGGACTTTGCGTGCAGAATTTAAAATAAATCTCGCGCCTTGAATATTGCTCTAAAATCTTTTTTTTACACAGAAGTTTTTTGACATGCGTGTCCCAACTACATTGTTTAAACAAAAAATTTTTTTTTGCTTCTGTTCAGCGGTTTTTTTAAAGGCGGCAGAGAGGTGGTCGTTGTGCTGACGACTGCCATGTTTTCCAGAGTTGCTGCGCTTGTTGCAGTGGTTGCAGGAGTGCACACGTGCAGCATGGAGTGCTCGTTCCAACTGCTCCGGTCACAACGGACGAAGTCGTAGCTAATGCGCTCGTTACAGATGTCTGAACCGGCCCTCAAGCCAGTTAAAAAACGAGCATCATTACCATCTCTCGGAGACAAGCAAGCAATTCGATGGTACAACAGCAACACAGAAAGAAGGTGCGCTTACCTTTGACGTCAAACTTGCTCGTTTGCGGGATGCCGAAACAGTGGGCCCGCAGGTTGGAGCACGACGTGACGAAGTCAAGGCACTCCTTGTTGTCCTAGGGTGGCGAGGCAAAACACCCGTAAAAATTTATTAACACCTCTCGCTTATTGCTTTAATCGTTTCTCACAAACACGCGTGCCCTTTCGGTAGCTCCCTCTAGCGGTATCTACCGAGATTGCCACCACCCAGGTGCTCCAAAAGAGGTTAGAGGGGTGAGACAGGTGAAACAGGTTTTGGAGCAATTTTTGGAGCAGACAAATCTGGATTTTGGAGCAGCTTAGGAGCACAAAATTCTTGTTTTGGACCAGCAGTTTATGCATTTTGGAGCAACTTCAGAGCAGAAAAGTCGACAGTTTGGAGCAGATTAGGAGCAGAAAATGTTAGAGTAGCTTGCTTATCAGAAATTTAAATCATAAAAAATCTGATATAAATCACATAAATCAGTTTTCTTTTTTTTAATCATTATGTTTGTCCACCCTGGTTCCAATAAGTCATCAGCGCCGATACGCACCAATAAAAAATAAAATAAAAAATAAACGCAGTAGGCAAACGAGAGTTTCATGCACATAGATGAGGACAGGGATGCTGCAAATTTAGGTGGGCATCAGATACCTCAAGCTTATACAAACTGGTGCCAAAGCGCAATTGTGGTGCAAAACTTTTTAAAGCGGTGATTCAAGAGCATGAACAGTGAAGCACGGTTTACTACAACCAGACGTCGACCGGACGCTCGTAGAAAGCACATGCAGATAGAAAAGAAAAAAACTCCTGACAAAAGTGAGTCACAAGGTAAATAGTGAATTGGTAGAAAACCTATGAGCAGCACATGCACGCTAAATACGTGTGTGTGACCGATTCATTTGATTGCTCACGCACAGGAAGCACGTGTGTGATACTAACGGCAAAGTCTATTGTGACGAGATTACGGACGCGAATGAACAATTACACAATGGAGGCTCTCAATAGCACCTTTAAGAAAAGGTTTACTCTCAAAACGAAAGAAATACTTAGCTTTGCTCATTTCGATAGCCTGTGCGTCGTAACTCCCGTGGCCAGACAGCGAGACCACGTGACAACGCACCGTTAGCATGCAGTCACAAATGACAACGGAAAGCAGTAGGAAAATCAGGAAAACACCACGTATCATAGGTATAGAAGGGTGCTACAGCTGAAATTTTCGAATCCGGTGGTTGCTTGCGCCACCCTGTACCCGTGCCGCGTACTTTACTACGACGAGATTGAACGTTGCCACCAAGCTCTGGTTTTCGCTAAAATTAGCGTCGCCGCAAACTTTTTTTTTTGTTACTTTGGCGCAGTGTGGCGCAATTTCGACTGATTTCGCGTTTTCGGCGCAACTAGGCGCAGAAAATTGGGTTTGTATCAAAATGGCGCAATTGGCGCAGATGTCACACCCCTGAGGTTGGCACAATACAAGCACCCACCTTGTCCCAGACAAGATGGTCACCTTGTGCCAATGCTTGCACCTGTGCCTTCAGTCGGGTCAGGGAGTCATTGAACACCTCGCCACACTCCTGCATGCTCCACAGCCGCTGATCCCCTGTGCGACTCGTGCTCGTGCTGCTGCATGGAACTTGGGTTCCGACAGAAGACAGAGTGAAAGTTTAATAAAGTGCAACAAACCTGGACCAGTGGCACTGAAAAGAGTGAAATTCCAAAGCATGTTTTCGAGTATCCTGGATATGGCTCACGGGCATCGGGCAGGGCAGACCACTTGAGCGGACAAGGAGGCTTGCGTCTCTTCCAGAGCTTCTCCATTTGCAACAGATATCGGATGTCGTCGTTGAACAACTGAAACCAAAGAAATGCCCGGCCCCCCACTCCCTAAGGTGACAAAGGGAGTATGAATCCCAAGCAATAAGCACAGTAGCTCACAGTTCTTAATATGTTCGTAATGAGGGTTAACCGGTACTAAATCCAAGACTACTGTTGAATCAGTACGTCCCCAGTTAGCAGATTCAAATTCCAACTGAGGTGACCGCAATCCGGCAGAGGCTTAGTGAGAAGCTGGTGCCATGTAAACGAGATTTTGGTGGCATGTCATAAGATGGTCGAAATTAATTCTCAGTTCTTCGTTTTGGCATGCCAGATGCCCTCCGTTGGTTTGGCACGTAACACCCCCAAATTTGATTAAATTTTAATTAATTATAACATTCCAACGGAACACCTACCCGTGGTGAAGAGATAAATAATACAATATGTGGAACTGGCAATCTTTTGGGGTGAAACAGCAAACTTTTATATACCAACTCAACTCTCTGAAGTCGTGCCACGGCACATGCGCAGATGCATAACTTGACACGAACCTAGTTTCTGCGCACAGTGCCCACACTTGGTGTGGACAAACGTGGGCTTGTTTGTAAACAGCGTGTTGGTGTACAGAAAATGCACAATCAACATGCGCACAGCCACTACAAACCCACATGATATGGGAACCAATACCGGAGACTACGGACACGACAAGATCATATGCCAGGCGCTGGTTCTTGACTTATAATTAAGATTGATCTCATCAATCGATGGAAAATAAATTGTCTAATGAACAGTTGTAACCCCTTTGAGGGCAGTCCATGCAGCAGTGTCTACCTACATCATTAGCCCATTGTGCGATGGCACACATGCGAAGGAGCTCCACTGTATAAAGTGGCAGCTTCCACCACCTATCCGAGAGCGAAAGTAGCGAAAGGCATGTGAGCCACATGCCTATGTCGCTGTTGGGTAGGTGCCCCACGCAGCTGCCCAATACACTGGCCCGGAAGAGTTCCCAGTACTGTTGTCCTTTCTTGCACCGGTGCAAGCTAACCTCGATGGCCAGCTGCAAATTCTCTTAAGTCAGGGAATCCTGCCATTAGCTCTTGCTCAAACAGTCTACACTCTATCTCATTAGTTGCATGCAGCATTACCAAAGGTGCCGGGTTGAGAGTGTAAGATCAGCAGTTGGAGACAAGTGCAAAAAGGAACTCCCTTGGTACTCGGACCATCTTTTGTGTAGCCCAACCCCAGCTCCCCCTCCCCCCTGCTATTCTCCCCTTAAGAGATTAGCCTGCCACTCAAAGTTCGTACAAAAACGGTTGTCCTTTTTTCCGCCCGTAGCTTCCACAGCACTCCGTGCAACTAGTGAGATAAGGCTGGCAGGACAATGCGCAAGACATGCACTTGTGGGGCCCCAACTGTTTTATCTTCATCGTTTTCTGTGTGCATGCGTCTTTGTTTATGAATGTCTTTCACCATTCAAATATTCACCTGAAAGTTACGAAGTGTCCTGTCCACTTCTGCCCACCTCTTGTTTGTGTTTTTAGCCTAGAACTAGAGCGATGAACAACTGACTAGCCATTTTGACGGCAGTTTTTACCTTGTTGAACAGCTTTTGCGTGTCATAGCCACAGTTGACAGCCCACACTCGCGTCGACACCCTGTGGACGTTACCCGTGGAGTTTGTTTGCTGCTGCACCAGCTTCTCCACGTTGACCTCCCCTGCAAATGCATATATAACTGGCATAAATTATCACAGTCGTCAATCAATCAATCAATTCATTACCTCCAAGCTCTGGATCCGTGGAATCTGGGGAAACGTCTTCGTCCGCATCAGCCTCTCCAAACAGCTGACTGTACATAAGGGCAGAGAGACCAACACCATACGATTTGAAAATGCGGAAAATTCTTTCATTATCAGCATTTTCTCATCACCAGACTTCCATCTGCTACACAAGTGGAAACTATAGTGCACTTTAACACTTCACATGTGCTAATTGACTGATTTAGGAGCTTTCTATGACGTGCAAGAAGTTTCTAATTGTAACCATATCTTTAGTTTCACTAATGAAAAAGTTATTTAGTGAATATTGTCACGAATGAAAAGTGACGAGGCAGCGAATGACTGAGTAAACTGAACGCTTAATGGGGCGAACTTGTGCCCAAAAATAAAAGGAAGAAGAAAGATAACAACAGAGTGTCGCGGGCGTCGAAGGCGGCGAAGCAGCAGGATCGAACGTTGAGGCGAAACTGACTGCAGATCCCCACGCGGAGCCCCTTATGTACACGTGTGGGCTTCTGGAATAATCGGCGTATAGAACATTCTGACCTTCAAAAAGCAACATGGTTCTCGAATTTACCAGAAAATTACGTTATATCAACAAAAATGCGTCCCCGTGGCCAGGGATCAAACCCTGGCCTTCTGCGTGAAACGCACGAGCGATAACCGTTAGGCCACGAGTGCGCTGCCTGCTTGGTCAGCTGCGCTCGCGGCAATATTGGGTGATAAATTGGCTCATTGGTGTTTTTGTTTTTTTTTGTTTTTTTTCAATCTTAGTGGCTGCCGTGGCTGGCAGTTTGCTCCCGAAAAGTACCTTTTTTTTTTTTCTTTTCTCCTCAGCAACCTATATTTGTAGAGATATTTGAAATTACGGACAACAAAGAAATTAATGGCTCAGAACAAAAAAAGAAAGAAAAAAAAACATAAATCATGGCTATTACAAAGTTTGCGACAGATTCCAGACACAAAGTGAAAAACTAAGCGAAAAAAAGTAAGTAATACTCGTGGTCAACCGTGAAAAAGTGATTGAATTTTTCTCGCAGGCAATGTATCCCGATCCTACTTTTTAGCTCTGTATTGGTGAAATAACTTCAAGATAGCGTATTTCAGCCACCCTCCAACATTCAGTGCAACAGGTTGGGTAAACATAAACATTTCACAGACTGACCGAGGGGCCCCTTCTCGCTACTAACTTTGGCGAAATTTTGGTTTTTTATTGCTTCAATTCACGATTTATGGTAATTCTGATGCACAATCACATTCCACGATTTATGGTAATTCTGACGCACAATCACATTCCACGATTTATGGTAATTTTGATGCACAATCACATTCCAGGATTTATGGTAATTCTGATGCACAATCACATTCCACGATTTATGGTAATTCTGATGCACAATCACATTCCACGATTTATGGTAATTTTGATGCACAATCGCATTCCACGATTTATGGTAATTCTGACGCACAATCACATTCCACGATTTATGGTAATTTTGATGCACAATCACATTCCAGGATTTATGGTAATTCTGATGCACAATCACATTCCACGATTTATGGTAATTCTGATGCACAATCACATTCCACGATTTATGGTAATTCTGATGCACAATCACATTCCACGATTTATGGTAATTTTGATGCACAATCACATTCCACGATGCAAGCCGCGGAGCGACGAGCAGCATGGTTAGCATGGTTACCAAACAAGAAAAGACCCGGATGTGTTTGAAACCAAAACTATAGCAATCACATAATGTAGCATCATACAATAAAAAATAACAAAAAAAAAAAACCCTCATTTTTTGTACAATTCTTAATTTATAATTTGAAAATTAAATAAGGCTGAATTCAACATTTTTAAAATGCTACCGTGACATTTCGTTACTCACGTTGCCCAAGAGTATTGCATGGTCGGTTCAGTCATAAAAACACGAATTGTAAACGCAGGTTTATAAAATGCAGACCCAATATTTCGCCGTAATACCTGGTAATCAACCCCTTTGTAGTTTAATGAATATATGAAGATTAAGGCCGGGCAGATGCATTTCCTTTTCACTACCTCTGTTGAAAAAAAAAGGCCCTGAATATATTAATCGAAAACATGATGCAACGTGGCAAGCAATGACTACCTTATTTATTTGGTATAGTTTAAATCTCCTTATCAGTTTATTATCCGACATGGGTCTTATTTAAATCCAAGGTATTAATATCGATTTTGGAATGCAGAGAGCTCACCTCTTTCATGGATTGCACCATATTGCACTTCCTCCAGGATTGGCTCATATTTTTATTTATTTGAACACAGCTAGAGATTTTCTATTCTGGCACCATCGTTTCAAGAGCCTCACCAGCCTAAAAATAGTGATCGTAGGTTTTCACGCCTCGTGCAATTATACACACCTTCAATTACGCTGCCGATTTATCCAACCAAAATAATTAAAATTTTATCAGAAAATTAATTTAAGAAGCTCAGATTTTGATACACACATTTTCGTTCCGTCACTCGTTGATACCTGTGAAGTAACAGGATACTAAAGTCACTAATCGAGACGTCGCACCATTTGCAGTTCTCCTCCTTACCGACACAGAGCCGCTCTCAAAAGCCCCGTCCCGCCAATCGTCGGGAGAGGAAGCAATGTATAGATGGCAAGGAGGGCGGAGGAAGGAGCGCCCTAAGGAGACGGCATGTCGATCCTATTACGTCACGGCTCATTTATCGAGCGAGTCGCAATACGGGAATTTCCAGAGGCGTGTTCACTGACGGAAGCAGCATTTGACCTCTTCACGCCTCGTGCAATTATACACACCTTCAATTACGCTGCCGATTTATCCAACCAAAATAATTAAAATTTTATCAAAATTAATTTAAGAAGCTCAGATTTTGATACACACATTTTCGTTCCGTCACTCGTTGATACCTGTGAAGTAACAGGAATCGAGACGTCGCGCCATTTGCAGTTCTCCTCCTTACCGACACCGAGCCGCTCTCAAAAGCCCCGTCCCGCCAATCGTCGGGAGATGAAGCAATGTATAGATGGCAAGGAGGGCGGAGGAAGGAGCGCCCTAAGGAGACGGCATGTCGATCCTATTACGTCACGGCTCATTTATCGAGCGAGTCGCAATACGGGAATTTCCAGAGGTGTGTTCACTGACGGAAGCAGCATTTGACCTCTTGTAGCAGGTTCTCTAGCAGGCAAAATATTGGTTTGGAGCAGCCATTAACGCTTTTGGAGCAGATGCCAACATCTATTGGCACATCACTTGAGAATGAAAAAGTGTTTGTATCTCTAATTGAGTTCATTCATGGCAATGATCAAGGGTTCCTGTTTGATACTCGAGCATATTACTTATTAGCATTTGTGACAAGAATAGATAGGGCGTAAAAGGAAGACAGTCTTCATAAAAAAGACTCAAGTCAGAACACATTTCATTCTCAATAGGTATTAAAAAATGGTTAAAAAGTGACTCATAGTGCAACACTTCATTGGGATAAATCCTCTCTCCCCTCCCCATTTTATACACGGTTGTTTGTTTAGCCTGTAAAATTCTGTAAAATGACAGCAAGAATCAGCATATCCGCTAGCATGTCTACTAATAAAAATGTGTCCCATAAAACCCACCAAACTCAAGACTCTAATATCATACACTGCAAAAACAACCAGCCACTGTTCTTTAGAGGCGAAGGAACCAGAGTTATGTCAAAGTTCGCTGCTCTTTCGATCGACAGCAGCACGGGAACTACCATCACTACCGTATTTATTCAAATACATATATATAACCCTGTGTTTTCTTTCTTTTTCTCTACTCAGTTTTTTTTCTTTTTTTTTTATAAATAGATATTAATTCACAATTAGGACAAAGAAGGTCAACATGGAATAATCTTGAGCCTAATTTGCGTGCCTATCCCGCTAAGACGGACGCTCCCCCAGGTCAGCCGCTGCTCACAGCACTCCGATGCAAAGCGGTGAAGTTCGATGTAAACACGCTGGTGAGAGGCGGTAGAGGTTGATGCGAGCGGCACAAGTGCCACGGTACTTTGCAGTCATGAAACGTAGGCATGCGGCAGACGCGATAATCAAGCTATCTTATCAGGAGTACAAGACTCTGGTTCTGTTTGACCACAGGACTATTTTGTGAAGTTTTCTCGGGGCTCTCAGTTCCTACATCGACGACATTGTCTGGAAATTTTGACAATGTTAGCGATCAACTCGCCAGCGCAACAACCAGTCAGAGCGGTTAATGCCCAGCATCAACGGCTCTGGCCGGTTGATTCGCAGCCTCAACACAGCTCTGGCCAGTTGATTCGCAGCATCAAAGTGCGACATCATGGAATTCGTCAATTCCTCATACCTGTTCTTTCATTGGCTAAACCAATCAAGTGCACCGAATGTCCCGTGACTTGTACTTTTAGAATGTGTGCTTGTGGTTGTATGCGTTCAAACCTTCAACTATGCTCCGACCTTCGACGAAACAAACTATACGGTGAGTAGGGAAGCTGTAAAATACACATTTGTACCATTTTTCTTTCCTTCTACTTTGATCAATATTAAAGTGAATCAATAAAAAAATATTAATACTTTTGCTTTAAGCTCACCTCAGCGCAGGTGTGTTGCAATTCTTAGGAAAAATGGCATTTCCGTGCAAAATGTATCAGATTTTTGTTTATGAAGCAATTTGGCGCAAACGGCGCAGCACTTTCATCACTGCGTTTTACGTGCTTTATTCCTCAAATCGCAAGCTGAAATTTCGTGGACACTTCCATGGGGAGGTCCTGCTACCTGCCACAAGGTTTTTATACGAAACTAAAGACCTTCATTTAAGGCTGGAGAGGCACTTTAAGATCGTCTTGGTTGACTCGAGACCATCCAGCCAACCCAAACACTCAGACACGTCAGCCGTTTCTTCTAGCACGCTGGTGCACAACAGTGAAGTTTGACACGTGCGTGTCAGTGCAAAGTGGTGAAGCTTGACAGCAAAGTACTGGTGCAAAACAGTGAAGCCTGACACGAGAAACCGGAGAATTCTGAAGACGCTATTCATACTTTTCTTTAAAGGAGCTGTGCAACAATTTCAGTGCTTTACATAAATAATTTGGGAGTTAATGTCTTGACCTTTCTGAAGTAAAGAACAAAAAACAACTTTTGCCTGCATGTCCTAGTTTTAGAGCGCAGCTCTTAGGGGCCCGTTTCCGGCTTGAGCGGCGTCGGCGTCGCCGTCGCCGTTGGCGTAACCGCGCGGTGCATCATGGGAAATGTCCCATAATGCACCGCGCGAGCCCCCCACCGGGGTCACGTGACCTCGTGGGGGGGGGGGGGCACGTGACCCCCCCCGAGGTCACGTGACCCCCCCCCCCCCCCCCGAGGTCACGTGACCCCCCAAAGTCACGTGACTCCCCTGAGGTCACGTGACCCCCGCCGATGTCGCGTGACCCCCAATGACGTCATCGTCACTGATGACGTCACCGGCATCCACATCGTCATCGTCATCATCACTGATGACGTCACCGGCATCCACATCGTCATCGTCATCATCACTGATGACGTCACAGGCATCCACATCGTCATCGTCATCATCACTGATGACGTCACCGGCATCCGCATCGCCATCGTCATCATCACTGATGACGTTACCGACATCCGCATCGTCATCGTCATCATCACTGATGACGTCATCAGTGACGTCACTGATGTCGCCACCGGCATCCACATCGTCATCGTCACTGATGACGTCACCGGCATCCGCATCGTCATCGTCATCATCACCGATGACGTCACCGGCATCCGCATCGTCATCATCACTGATGACGTTACCGACATCCGCATCGTCATCATCACTGATGACGTCATCAGCGACGTCACTGATGACGTCACCGACATTCGCATCGTCATCGTCATTATCACTGGTGAAGTCATCAGTGACGTCACTAATGACGTCATCGGTACCCGCATCGTGATCGTCAATGATGACGTCATCAGTGACCTCAGTGATGACATCATCGGCATTGGGGGTCACGTGACCCCCAAGGTCACGTGACCCCCCAAGGTCACGTGACCACCCCCTGGTTAGTTTAATCCCCCCCCCAGTGCCCTTCCCTCCTCCTCCTCAAGAGCTGCGCTCTAATTCGGCGTTACAGGGAGTTGTAAGCAGCTTTCACTTTTTTATTTTAAAAATTGACAAAGATTGAGGTTTTCGGTAACTCTCAACTCCTTCACCATCTTCCGTGTCATGTGCACTATGACATGAAAGAAGGACGCGTGAGGTTCCGGTGAAGCTCTCTCTCTAGAGTCAAAGCAGGTGAGCAGCGAGCACTCACTTGCTTGCGACCAAGTGCTTGAGCAGCGCGATCAAAATGGCGAAAGGAGGAAAGTGCCAACGTGCTCGTCCCGGTCCGGCCATATCCTTTTCAGCTCTGCCCCCGTCCCCCTCCGGCTTCTGGCGGATGCTAGCAGTAGCAGATAGAGCTGGCAGTTTTGTTGACCTCGGATAGATGGCACCACTAAAACTCCGTATAATAAAAGTTTTGTCGATGATACCAGGTTCTTTACGCATTTATATTTATGCTGGAATGACCACATTTAGAGAGAAATTACCTTTTATTGAGTAGGTATTTGCACAACTTGCTATCTTTCTACAACACCCCCTCTGACGTCATGCTGCAAGGTTCTCATGGCTGCCGCTCGGGGCTGCGGGTCGAGAAATATTCCAACTTTTGCCTTGCGATTTCGCGGCGGAATCGCAACATTATAAAGGAAGATGTGTTTTCTGTCCTTTGTGACAAGATAAACAATGTCAAAAGTAGAAGATGCAAATTCTTTCAACAATTAAATTGTTGCACAGCTTTGTTAAACTTGATATACTACAAACAGCAAGTTTGCTGCAAATTGAATCGAACAGCGCAAACACTATTCGCAAATTAGTTTCAAATATTTGCACACCGCTACCTTCAACGACTTTGTTTGTAACAGGTGTACCTTTTCCAGATTACTAGTCGAAGATGCTGCGCCCCAAACTAGATGGCAATAATTTAAATGAGAGTAGAATAATCAATTACATTTAATAATTTAACAATTGTTATCAAAACATATTGAAGATGGTTTAACATATCCACAACCTGTGAAAGCTTGGAGAAACGATAATGAATGATTGCCCCATGACGTGTTCTCGCAGAAAAAAAGAGTTAACATTACATTGTATCTTACTGCAACCTCTCATTTCAGCAAATGTGCATACTTGAACAGGTGTTTTGCCCAGACAATGCAGTGGATGGGCTCCGAAGGTGTGTTTCGGATGGTGCAGCCAGGATATGTCTTCTGGGCTGGACGTGGCTGGCACTCGTAGCACTCGGTGGCCCCCTGCATCAACAACACTTGTCAGGAAAGCAACCTTCATAGTCTCCAAGTGCACAAAGTGGCAGCTGTAAGAGCTTCAAGTGGCCAGGATTTCAAAGATATCTGGACTGGGAAACACAACATCAAGTGTGGCGCTAAATGCACGGGGAAGATTATACACCATCTCTTCAGAGATTTGGCCGATTAAATGTTCACCGTTAAATGTTTCGTTTGAAGGCTCGGAATGAATATCAGCTGCTGTCACATGCAGATCCTGAGGTGATCTTACTAATAGATGTCTTCTGAAGCTCGAAGCGCCTGATCGCGGCAAAATGCCACGCAGTGCACTCTAGAACTAGTTGGCCACTCAGTTTCGGTTTCGATTGAGCAGCTTCAGTTCACGCTATCACACAATGATTCAATGCGCTGCTTGCATTTTAGATTATCTGACTTTCCACGAATGTACAATGCTCTTATTCTCGAGCAATATAAAAGAAAAGCCGGGGAAATTTTCTTGGTTCCCAAAAATGCCAAATACTGTGCGTGCGTATGCAAACGTAGTGAGACATGGCTTAGTCACCTCACCCCACGATTATATCTTTCCGGTGAACCACAATTGAAATTTGGTCACATTGAGCCCTACACGCATTTTGCTTGCCAAACGTCCACTTCTTGTTACTTCATTGGCGAAAAAAAAAAAAGCTGCATCCTCACAGGAGTCCCAAAGTTGAGCCCAACGTTGGCGCATGAAATGCAATAAATTCGACCTCCCTACTGCACAAAATTTACTATGAAGTCTTCCTCATGTCATGATATATAAACCACCCAAATTTTATGCCGATTGGAAATCAAATTTTCGCAAATGCTGAGTCCAGCTAGCTACGACAAAGGCCCTAACAAGCGTCCCCTACTCCTCAATAAGCCTTTTTGGATGAGCATGAACAGACGCCCAAGATTTGTGTCTGAAATTATCTTGGAATACTCAGTCAGGAAGAAAGCAAGCGCGTAACAAATCTTGTGGCCATTAGCAACAGTCAATTGCACTTGGAATCCTTTAGTTTGTTTGGCGCACCGCATAGGGGTTCACGCCTGTATTTGTGCCATCCGGCGAACGGAGTGACATTCTTCACGTAAGTGCTCGACTGTTGCTTTTTGAGAAACAGTTTGTATGTGCGAATGTGCCTTTATGATTGCGGGATAACTTCATGCGTACTACATGCTATATTGAATTAGTATAATGCAAGGCGGTGGCAATTTCACTTTGTGCAGTGCTGCTGGTCAGTACAGATAAGGAAAAAAAATGTGTTCGATTTTAGCTTTTCAATGGCGTCTCCAAGTTTTATTTTGCGTACTCAGGCGTATTAACAAAAACAGTAACTGCAAAAGGTATATTTCGTCAATGAACAGACGAAACAGTAATAAACTTCCTGACCAGCACCACTAATGTGAAGGTGCGAGCTCGGTGTATGCATACTTATTGGTTGTTACAGCGTCTTCACTCGTACACAAGCAAGATACCCGAGCTTCGCAGTGTCGAGATTCCCAGCACTGGCTCATCCACATACGTCAAAAAGCTAATAGAAAGGCTTGGGTACAAAAATACAAGAAGCGCATGTGTCAAAACAAACTTCACGTATGGTTAGGGCTTGTGCTAAAGCCTCGAGGTATGGCCATTTAGGTTAGTTTAGAGACCAAAAACTATGTGCTCAGGACCAGGAAAAATAAGATAATGGCTGTTAGTAGTCCACACTCTGTGTATGATCCCTTGGTGACGTGTCGATCGAAACCAAAACCATACCACTCCTTGGCCAACTAGTTCTCAGGGTGCAACATGCGCAGTGTTGCATGCACGGATTTATGGAACTAGTCTATTCTGCCAATGAAGCTGCAAGATAGTGTCAGAACCATCACAAAGCGTTAATGCAGACAATGAAAATACCTACAGTATTGATGCGAACCTCTAGACAACCCGTCTAGATATTCTTGTGTGTCTAGCTCAAGCTTCAAACTCAAATAAGTATGCCCAGAAGTTGTTGTAAGCGTACTTCATTATTCAGTTTTATTGACTTACTGTTTTACAGCAAAGCTGTTATGTGCTAGGATCTGGGAAAAAAAGCATCCACGGATGTTGACAGAAAACTCCCCATTAATTGTGGCAAGTATGAATAAATAAAAATAAAAAGAGGGGGCAACCAGCATGAGTCAGCCTTCTTTGGCATTATTAGATAGTGAGGTCCTGATCCTCTGTTAACATCTTTAGGCATTGTCCTGGAGGTCGTCCTAAAAATGGACCTAGAGGTCGGCCTAGACGTTGTCCTCGAGGTCGTCCTAGATGTTGTCCTCTAGGCGTCGCTCTCGAGGTCGTCGTCCTAGACATTGTCCTCTAGGCGTCGCTCTCGAGGTCGTCGTCCTAGACATTGTCCTCTAGGCATTGTCCTAAGAGGTGTCCAAACAGGACACTACAAAACGCACGACTCCGACAAATCGTGAAAATTGAAGCGGACGCTTCTATTTTTACGATTTGTAGGAGTCGAGAAAATTTTTGCACGAGTCGTGAAAATTTTCACGATCACGACTTCTCTCCTTGTTTCCGCCACTTTTCTCCGACGTCGGTGCTCGTCAGATTTGACATCACACGCCACCTGCGTCTGGCTCACCTCGCCAACGCCCTCACGTACCGCCGTCGCCTCGGCTCGAAGGCCAAGGAGGTCCGGCTTCGGGTAGATTTGGGATATTCCTGCGTCGAAGGATGCGTTTCAACCGCCCTGGCTCAGCTTTCTTTGTCAAAATCCATGTTCGTAGCTCGAAAAAAATAAAGTGCAGTGCGCAACAGTGAGACTTTTAGTTGTATGTAGAAACATTGAGAACTTAAGAGTATATCATTTATTTTATTAAACTCCAAACCAACCAGGTTTGTTTGTCTATACGAGGAACGTGAGGAACAAGAGCCGCGGGAATCCAATCCACAGAACTGCTGGAAGATGACACGACCTTGGATACCACGCACGCTTGCCTGGCTTGCCCACTCACACTTTAATCTTCCCTTTCCCGTTTTCGGGACTTGAAAAACGGCGGAGGCCTTGAGCGATTGACCGACAGCCAACAGAGCGTGTGAGTAGCTCTACGGACCCATGTGATGAGCAGAGCAAGGCCGTCGTGGAAAAAGCGAGGGGGAGATTTGACGAGGGGAAGTTCCCCTCCCCCCCCCCCCCCCAGCTTTGACGGAGGGAAATTTCCCCCCGACGGCCGGAAGCAGAGCGCGGCACGATTTGCCGGAGTCGTGAGTTTTGTAGTACTATCCTATTCGGACAGGCCTCTAGACGTCGCAAAAATAACAGCTTCGCTGGTCCTCCATCTTCATGTGAAGTGCAAGGGCTCTCAAATTTTTTTGTAGCTAAAAGAGGCCTTTCGTAAATTGTTTCTACCATCCCACAACTCTCTCTGGAGCCTGCTACGAGATCCGGAACACTGCAGACAAGGCTGACCGCACATCTTTGTTGTGGAGAGCATAGTGGAGGAGGAAACATGCTCAATGAAAACTCCCTATTTAGTCATCGGGAAAATAACTTGAGAAGCAGTACAGAGTCGCCGATAGTAATTTACTTAACCAAGGGACGCGAGCTAAAAAGTTGCCACGCCTCTGCAGTAGACGGTTTCCCTGGTCATTTACCTTGAAGATTGGAGAGACTTGTCCGAGATAGCCAGCCGTGCCACTTTCAATGAGCGGAACATTAGCAGCGAGACACATCCGGTTCACATGGCTGCGAGCCCCTGGGAAGGTCATCATTACACAGCTCATTAGTACCACTGCTCCCAGTATGCAGACTCAACTCAAGCCTAATTTCTATTTTAAGGTCTATATAAAAATGTGTTACCCATTTTATTCCTGCAAAAGATATAAATAGCCTTGTCATCAATTAGCGAGATTCATAAAAGTCAGAGGTACACTAGGGAGCACAATCTTAGATGACGGCGCAGTCATAGTATACTCCGTTCAACCCCAAGTTGAGACTGCAGAGTGCCGGGTCAGCAGATAAGAGGGAGGCAGATGATTGGTCCAGCGGGCACGTAGCCCCACCTTAGTCTCAGCTTAAGGGTGAACGGAGTATAGGCTTCGTTTGCCATACAACATGAGTTGTAACACTCGAAACCGGCTTTTTTTTCTTCATCTACGGTCTCACAAGCTTCATTATCTCTCGGTTTGTCAAGGAGCTAAAAGAATGGGACTTAAACTTTGCTTTCTAACCATCTGAACCAGAGTTTTTTCAAACACTGGCAAGTACACAAAAGAATCACGAAGGGCTGTTACAGCAGATATTGTCCACAACAATACAAAACTCGTTTCAGAAAGGGGAAAAAACAGAAAAGGAAACAACAGTTTTAGACGTAAGAGTTATAGAAAGTCTGAAGTCTGCCCACCTCGATTGTCCAGGGCATTCATGACAATCGAAAACTGCTTGAAGAAGTCCACTCCATATTCAGGCCTGTCGCAAAAAGAAAATAATGTGCAGCACATTTTGAGCTGTGCAGGATGCTTATTTATGAGCAGGGTTCCACGTTTTCAGGGTTTTCCCTTTAATTCAAGAAAGTGCTTTCATTGTTGTTTTTTTTTCTCAAACATTCGGAGTTTCTTAGTGGTCGGCAGGAAATTGGCGTTTATCAAGAAGCGGCGGTGGGACTCTCCCATCCCCAGGGAACATACGCGTGACCCGAATATTTGGGAAAACCATCCCACACCGACCAGAGAAGAAAACGAGACTAAGGTGTGGTTACCAAAAGATAATTGCAGCCGCATGGACAGTTCAGCCTGGGCTATCTTCAAGGTTCACGAAATAAAGCGGAAGATAAGCATCTCTTCCCGTGAAGATTGAGTTTGTTTCCTTATTGAAGGATGGCTTCTAACCGAGATTCTCTTGGCTTTCCCAGATTTTAAGAAAACTGGCTCAGGGGGTTATACTTTTATGGGTTTCATTGGTATACAGCGAAAACATGGAACCATAGTTATAAGCCCAGGAGAGTTTCTGCACATAATGTGTCTCCCCACTTTATCCCTAGGATTAAGCACATTTAAATTTATTTTGGTACCAAGGTGCTCGTAGGATTGTTTAATAATGCTGGTAGTAAGCCCTTGAACGGTCAGCATCATTGCTATAGCGTGATGAGGTCATGTGATTGCCTACGCACCCTAAGCACTCTTGTTCGTGTCATTTAGATGGCGCAGAGCTTGGCGTTCTGAAATCATTGCAACACCTGTGCAAAAAGCAGACAAACTTGCATTCCGCATACGCGTGACGTCGTGCGCCGCAACTGGACATGGCTATACCCATGACTCAAAACTTTTTGTGCTTCACCTGGTTTACGGGGGGAGAAATGGAGGGGGCCTGAGGCATGGGTAAACACGCCTCAGTGAATCACGCGCTAGCATTTAGCAGCTTCCAAATCTGATTACGCAAAATAGATTGTCAAAGCTGTGGCATAACCTCGTGGCAATGCGCCTGCTTCATGTGCAGCGGACAGAGGATTGAATCCTGAGGGTGGCACACATTCTTTTTCAAGCATTCGGAGGTATTGATGATGGACGCCCTACGCTATCGACAACATATCGTCGTGCGTATAGCATCACTCAACGAAAAAAGTAAACTCTGACTCACTTTATGATGGTATCGTGGTGTGCCGTAATCTTCACGTTGGGGTTAAGTTTCTCGGCACTTTCTTTTGCAACCTAGGGTGAAATGAATGCAAGGTTAAAACTAAGGATGCCGCAAACCTCCTTAAGTTCAAGTTTGAACCTCATTAGCTAAAGTGCAAATTTGAAAAGTTGGCAACTTCAGAACGCCACTGAGGTTCAAATTGGAATAATTTGAAAATGTCAAGGTTTCTAAAAGTTCAGAGTTCGAAGATTTCAAATTTTTTGATTGTTCGAAAAACTCTAAACACTTTGAATCTATTTAAGATTCAAGTTTGAAAAATGAGAAGATTTCAAATTTTTTCAAGGTACAAGTTTGAAAGTTTCTATTTTAAGTTTGAAGTTTTTGAATTTCAAGGACAGAAATCAAATTCTGCAGTTTCAAGCTGTCTTAATGAATTAATTTAAACAAATTGCAAAATGTGCTACAAATTTTACTGCAAACAATGCAGTAAAATTATGCCGTGAATATACTCCTTCCTACTCAGTGCTGTGGTACTGACGGTACTACATGTCTTCCTCGTTATTTGTCCTAACTTATGAAACAAGCATTGAACTGGTTGAACAATTTATCGAAAAGCCCTGAGGTGGTAAGGTGAACATACTTCCTACTTACTTGCGAACTAATAGCAATCAAATACAATGCTGGCTTAAGACAACTAAATATATAGGGCAATGCATGCACATAAAAGCATCCAGGCTACCTGAAAATTTTTAGTTGCTCTGGGCATTTATTTTTGGCAGGATGACCCGTGGGATGGAGAAAACTCTAAACACAGGCACAGTACCTGACACAAGTCTAGGTTGAGGAGAATGCAACCAGACTAAATTATGGGATTACCTGGCCCCCCCCAAAAAGTACAGCTTATCAGGTCAGGACCAGTTGTCATTGAGCTAACCATATTGCTGTCGCCTGGAACTTTTTTTCTTCAATGAATGGAGATATTGGCTGCTCTGAAATGCAGCCAGGTTACTAACGATACTGAAGTAAGCGGCGATTCAGGGTTTGTTCTAACACATCAGCGCTGCACTCCGCGCGCGCCTCTCTTTGACTCGAGGAAATGGGGGAATTTGCGTTCAAAAACAAGTAATGCTATGAAGGACACTCCCAGCGAAGCGCCTCAGTTGAATTTCAAGCCTGCAGATCAGGGATCTCATGGCCCACAGGTTACCTCGGGGCAACCTACAGGTGTTTTGCGCGGGAGAAGCTGTGTGATTCTCGAAAGAAAAAGGTGCGAAGTACGAGGCCACTCCAAAGTGATCATTAAGCGCTTTACAAGCGAGTCGTTTGTGGCCTGATCAGCTAAATAAGACTACTGGTGTAATTTCAACTCCACTCCACAAATTGACATCTTGTGTTATTTATATTTGTTGGCTTCACCTTATGGGGTAAACTTGGTTCGAAAACTTTAGTTCAGAAGTTCAGAGTTCGTTGACCTTCTGAACTTTTTTTTTTATTTTTAAAGTCACTGAATTTCCTGATGTGATACACTCTAAAGTTCCAAAATGTAGCATTTCATGGCACGAAAAATCGATTCGAAAGTTAGAAAACAATAGATTTTTCAGCACAATAATTTGGAAGTTCGAAAATCGTCGCATTTTGAATGTAATAAGGCTCTAGGTTCATCTTCGACCCTCAGGTTCGCAAAAAGTTTGCCACATCTCTACTTGAAACCAGTAGGCACTCACTGTGCAGGCAAAGCGACGTTGTGGGTTCGAAAAGGAGAATGCATCGCAGGTGGACAAGTCACAAGCGGACCCTAACGGGCACCCATGTCAAAAAAACCTTCAGCCTTTCCACTCTCGTGAAGAAGGAAGACCAGCGGAGCTGTACTCGATACACTGCCGCAACGCGCACGCGCCCAATTTCCCGCTTCTTCTCTTCCAACACGCTGCCGATCGTGGATACGTCTCCGACGAACCAGGGTTGAATTAGAAGTCACGTGAACACACAGCGCACATGACGCCAAACAAGTTTTTCACAAACTCCCTCCGGAACCTCACCGCCGCACCCGGACACTGTTCAGCCGGCATGGAGTGCAGTCGTCACCCCGCCGGCGCCTTTTACATCGCTGGTTCTGTTCTCAGCGGCAGCTTTCCAGGCGAGTGATGTGCTCTTTGGCAAGGAAATCTGAAGCGCTGGATGCAGTGGAAGTCGAGGCGACAGCGGCTTTGCGGCAGTTGCAAACCCAATCGCGCTGCTGCGTATGTCGCTGCTCCTTCCGCAGCCAGTCTCCTTTCCCCGAAAGGGCGCACGGCCGACCCATCGTGAGTCCAAACCGAAACTGATAAGAGCATAGGAAACAGCGTGCAAAACAGACGAGGACGAAGAAACAAACGTGACGAGCGCTGCGCTCGTTACGTGTGCTTCTTCTTCTTCGCCGTCTGTTTTTCACGCATTTTCCTTCGATGAATTTCCACCAACGCACCCAACGATCAATTCTTCTATGATAGCTGGAAAGGTTGCCACCATCAACGAGCGACGGCGGAAACCATACTGATCGTGTACTTGCCGCCGTCGCTTACAGATGGAGGTAGCTGTCCCCAGGTAGGTTTGTGTCCACATACCGGACACGATCCTAGTGAACCTAGCCCTTCTGTTTCACGTATTTTACAGCTCCGCTGTAAAATACGTGAAACAGACGAAACCAAGCATCAGCGACAATGGAACTCCACGCGTAGCCACGGTCCCGAGGACCCAAGAGCCGAGGCCTGTACGCTTTCCTCGCGGTTGCACCTGTTCGTATTTCGCGCTCATTGATTACTGAACACTTCCCATAAAGCTCTTTCGCGTTCCTACGGAACACATACCTCAGTAGTCACAAGGTCCCCTTCCATAAAACGTGCGCTCTTTAAAGTATGCCCTCTTTAAACATCACATTTCGATGTAGTTTACTATGAGATAGTGGCTGATATTAAGATCAATCAATTAAAATCGCACTTCCCGTAAATATGAACGAGGCTGTGCGGCTGAAACGCTGTATTCTTTTTCTTGTATTCGTCTTCATTTTTCTTTAACCGATTCACGTGAAACTGGCCGAATTGTTCCTTGTTTGACAGAGCCGAGACGGCGGTTTGCGCCGAATCCGAATCAGCCAAGAAGACAGTGAAGGGCGCTCACCAAGGCTTTAGACTTGCCGACGTGAACTTTCTGGAACAAAAACTGTCGGTTCAGGTTGCTCACGTCAATTGTGTCGAGGTCAATCTGAAAACAAAAGCACGATTAGCGGCGCAACCGCTCGAGCCGGTGAATTCGGGAGTGTGCGCTTCTGAAAAGTAAGCCGCCGAGAGAATCAACGATGACGCTTACCACTTCAATTTCTGAAAAGCCGGAAAGCACCAAGTTCTTCAGCAACTCGCAGCCTATCCCACCGGCGCCAACCACTAAAATTTTGGCATCTTTCGCGGCTGTTTCGGCTACGATACCCGCCATGTTGCGAACTTCGCGCTTGAAAACAAGAGAAGGAAGAGAAGCCAGCAGAGCGCCAGAGGACCAGAGAGGCGTTCAGAAGGCGAACGTATTTCTTTTCTTTCTTTTTTTTTTTTTTTTTTTTGTACAGATTACAGAGATTAGCTCAAAAGTAGCGCCCTCCGCAATGTCCACGCTTAAAACGCGCGACAAATTGTGCACATAAAATATAATTTGGTTTGATTCGCTAGTGGCGCAGGTACAGTTTCTTAAAAGTAATTTGCATTCTAAAAAATAATAAACAGAGCAAAAACATCTTGCGTTCTTTTTAAAGGTTTTTCCGCTTTGGGTGCTGACCGTGCCGACCGTGCTGACCAACCAGCGCCCAACATCCGGTGTATACTCCGGTGTATGTTCGTATGTATGTATGTACAAACTGAAGATGCTGAAATCGCAAATGTCTTGTAGCGACTGCTGCTGCCATACACTCCCCTCGGTATCGGTACAGTGAAAGAAAAAAGAAAAAAAAAAACGCCCTACATTGCCGATATTCCTTATTCCCAATGCACGCGTCATAAGCACGCGGACGCGATGGGCAAGGCGTCTTCGCAATGACACGACGTCCAGGGTAAGGTTTGGTGGTCGCGATTGCATCGAAACCGAACGCAAAATGCAGCCAGGCAAGCGAGGCGTCCAGGAGTTCATCCAAGGCGTCTTTGCGCCGATGATCACGGCCCAGTGCAGCCCCGACGCTGAAGATGTGTGCCGCAGGAACAATCTTTCCTTCGTCGAGCTTCTACAGCCGTTCTGCCAGGCAGTCGAAGGTAGGCAGCCCGCTTCTAAAGCGCAATCGCGTCCAAGGACTCGGTCGTTTCGAGGAAAACGAACCACAGTCAAGATTTCCATTTGTTTTTTTTTAATATTTTCCTTGTGATTTATTATGGCGTACCTTATTTCAAAGGTCTCTATCATCTGAGGCGTGAATCAGCTGCATAAGACTCAACATTTAACCGGAGGCTCGTCGAGCAGCCTGTCATTTAAACCAGCTGAGCTGGAGGCGTTTTACAATCGTGCATGTTAACGCTGTGGTTTGACTGCAGTTTGATCGGCGCTGATGAAGCGGTGCTCCCACACCTTTGATGTCACAGTCGAGATTTTCAGTTTGTCGATAACACATGTGGCCATAACAGGCTTCGCAGCGAGCCAAGCGAGACTATATTGAACTTGCTCGCTCGTGTATTTCATAGATCGAAGTGACAGGTGTCAAATCAAAACAATACGCCAGCAGAGCAGTTGCTGAGTTTTAATTTTGTTACTTCCCTGTTATTGACGTTCACTGTTGTCGTACCTGTGCTTGTTGAGTGAGCCTAAATGTAAATGTTTGGCATGCAGCTAATTTTTCAGCTCCTCGATAGCATCCATGAGGTGTCGTTTCACCGTGCTTGGGGTTACTCTTCATTATTTACCGTCGGCACACCATTCAGGCTGTGGCTGAATGGTGTCAGACCAGTGCTGCAGGAGGTGCACTTCCAGCCATAAAACCATCGCTACGACTACAGTCGGTTCCGGGAACGCATCTCCGACTGGTGATTCTACCGTCCTATCCCGCCCATGCACTGAAAGTGGCGCCCAAGTGGCAATAAATTCCGTCACAGGAGCCGTGGTGTCGCGATCTTGACGGTTGGTCGTAGAAGTGCTGCCAAAAAAAGGCGAGTGGATGCAAGGGTTGCTGTTGTCGTGGCGTTCTAACTCGTACGGAGGAGGAGGAGGGGTGCCTTCTTTGGCTTCCATTGAGCGTCTGGCTGCAGAGCAGCCTGCAGCAGAACGGGTGTCTGCTGCATCCACCTCCGCCTCTGTGCCACACCGCCAGGATTTACGTCGGGGAACCGCGTGACACTTTTAGGATGTCATCAGACAGAAATAGAGAGACCACTTTTGATGACGCTGTAAGCACACCAGTCGGAGACAAGCTCCAGGGGTCCGATTTCGCTCACTGTGAGAGTGGGAACGAGATCTAATTGACCTCTCGCGGAGCTAGCGAAGACGGCAGTTAGGGCCCGTTCACACTCTTGTGACCTCTTAGAACAGGTGCCTTGAAGCCTCTTACAACGAGAGGACGCACTGGCGCCATCTATTGGGTAGCAGTGTAAACTTGGAGGTCCGCATATTTTCTATTTCTCACGCATTATCCTTTCTTTCTTGGCTCGAAAAACTTTTGTCAACGTTATAAACGAGCCTTTCTTATAGGTATTACACACATTTGAATTGGGAATCCTGCAAAACCTTCGCTCTTGTGAAATGCAGTTCCAGGGTCACCGCATAGGTGGCGCCAGAATGCCAGTGTGTTCTCTCGTCCTAAGAAATTTTAAGAGGTTTCAACAGGCCTCGTCTCTCTCGGTCGCACTGGGTTGCAAGAGTGTGAACGGGCCTTTATAGATAGTTTGTCTGCTAACGCAAGCGAAGAAGGCAGTTCGTCTGTTATGGAGCATCATTCACAGACAGACACAAAGCGAGAAAACGGAGTATGTCGTCTGCTAATGGACTGGAAAAAAGGTTGATTGTCTGCTACGAATCGAGTGCTACGGTGCAGTGAGATTGAACGCAGGCAGAGATTGTGATCATCTGCTATTTCACGTTGGCAGCCATTGACAACCCGCACATTGTTTCCAAAGCTCACATTGTTCTGCTGCCGTACACGAGCTGACATTGACCAGTGGGTGAAGGAGTATTAAGGACAAGTACATCAGAGGCACGAGACCTTTCTCGCTGTTTGTACGTTGGTGAGATATTCTCACTAAATTTCTGTCCGATTGTGACATCGCAAACTGGTCAGAAATGTATCATTAGTTGATTACGCACAAGCAGTGACGCCATGTCCAATCAGCAGCCGAGAACGCTCGCTCTCACCTTGATCAAAATGGGACCCGAGGCACCATAGTACAACTGTTGAAGTGATGTCTGTGCAAGCCATCCATACAAGGAGCATGTACGACTCCAAAGAGAGTCGCAGTCTCTCTCGGTCTGCACAGGTTTGTGGAAGAGTTTAACTTGACTCGGAGGATATTCACAGACTACTGAAACAGCTGAGCTAATATTCACTGTTGCATGAGGTGCAAATATTATGCCGGTGTTAAAATTAATCCACCAGGAGGTTCTTAGCATGAAGCTGTATTCACCTGCAACTGTCTTCTTCCCTTGACTTCGTTCTAGATGCTATAGAAAGCGGCACTGTAAATCACCAAATGGGACAGTTAGAAAAAAAAAAAAAAAGCAAGGCTCCCAGGTAGAACAGTTTCACACTTTATTTGCCATATAACTAGATATTCTAATGCAGAGAAGTGAATTGGTGCGAGATCCCCTCCCCCGGGCAGTTTTGCATCTTCAACACTTGGCGCCATTTGCTTGGCTGGAGGCACTTGTGCTATCTTTCTTCTGGGGCTTCAGCTTGACTGGTTTAGCTGGCATTCATCTGGCTGTGAACAGTTAACTAGTGTTTTTTTTTAGTATTCCAAGAATGTTTTGTGACTTGAGTTTCAACAGTTGAGCGAACAGGCAAGTTGATAACGGCTACTTGTATGTTGAGGCGTCATGTCAATTTGAGGAGAGAGGAGCAAATGCACTATTTATGGGGCCACCCCATAATTGGAATAATGAGGCCTTCTGCACACTTCGCAGTGACTGTTCGGCCGCCGAACACCATCCAGGGCTCGATTGCCACAAAACTTCGCCTCTGCGTTCGGGACCTGAACAACCCACTGCCCCAACTTGCGGCAGCCAAGAAGCTCCTCAACGACTCGGTGGCCAACGTCCAGCCATCGCTCAATGAAAGTGGTGCATCCCTGAGCAGCATTAAAGCTGGCTGTTACAATTTGCAAGTGTCGAGTAAGTGTGCCTGTGGGCAGGAGTTTTCTTTCCTTCATTTGCTCCTAATTCAACACGGTCCAAACCACTTTGACTAGTGGTACAACTTGCATTGTGAGTGGATTGATGGCAGGCTTTTGCATTTAATTGTTTGTTGCTCGAGCTGATTTCCTTTGATAAGTGGCTTGTTGGTGTTACTTGGACTTGTTGGATGGTCTCATCGAGACCTTTTTGTTTATGTCTGCTTCAGGCTCAACACCATGGTTCCAGTCATATAGAGACACATTCTTCCGAGTGATGCCACCGTTGGAGCATGATTTCACCAGGCACTTTCTGGCTTGTATCCTTACTCATGCCTTCAGTTTCATGCCTTGACTGGGCCGTCCAAAACTGGAGCTGCCATTACTGGGGATTAGTGCCGCACATATTAGTTTGTGCGCACTGTGCGAAGGATGTCGCGAAATTTTCTGATGAACATGTCGAGTGACTAATTACATGTTAAGTTTCTATTCAATGGATCAGATGCCTGGCATGTTAACTCGAAATTATCTCTTTTGTGTCATGGTCAAACCCTTCGCAGAACACCAAACTGTTTTATCTTTCTGTGTGGCTTTCAATGAGCAGACGGAAGAAAAGAAAGTGCATGTTGAAACCAAAGTAAAATTCCGTGCGTTTATGTTTGCAATGGTCCTTTTGCAAAGAATGGAGCGCTGTCCATGGCGCTGAAATGAATGCCATTTAGATTGTTAAGCGAGTGTCTTTTCAGCATGTCACGACACATTGCCGTGGGTTGAGGTGCTATTTGGCAAGAAAGTCCTGCGGGGCATCCGCTCTGCGTAAGGCAGATAGCAACTTGACACCCTTTCACACGTTTTTAAAACCTGGGTTAGTGTCGGTATCTCCATCCAGTAATTGCTATTGAGTGTACATGCCACACATAAAGCCAGTCACTAAATTAACTGAGGAAGAGCATTGAGAGTGTAGATGCCGCACATGTCACATGCAACACAATAGACCGATCTCGCCAAGCGTTTGGCGCATACGTGACGCCGCCATAACTTTAGTTCACAGGAGACAGGCGGCAGTGCACGAGACGGCTCGTGCCGCCTCATGATCTGTACGTGCAGAGCTCCAGCGAGGTTGTCACAGGTGCACAAAAACTAGAGCTCCCTCCGTGCATCATGGCAGCAGTGTCATAGCAAAACTGGCTGATGAGATCGCTCTATTGCCCAGCAATTTGCTACGCATTTTTGCAAAAGTTTTATTAGCAAGGGGCATCTGGCGTGCCCTAGTGAGGGTCAGAGGGATGAATTTGAACTACCTAGAGGTCTGTAATGTGCAACCAGGATCTCAGCTTTATGATGCAATAAGCCTTCATCATATTATGGGCACCTTTGGACAAGATTTTAACCCACCAACTGGGTATACATAGGCCAGCACTCTGCCTCCGAGCCACTGAGGCAGCCAAAATATGTATAAGAGAGTGGGATAATTGTTGTGGGTCCGAATGGGGTCTTGGCATAAAGCTTGGAATCTTGCTCAAGGTAGAACAGGCAACATAAAGCAAACCGTAATGCTGTAGTCCTTGATTCAAAGACAATGGTCAGGCATGTTTGTGATTTCCTCGGGGCATGCGGCTCCTCAGGAAGAGTTGCAGCGCCTGGTGCAAGCTCAGCAGCAATGCCAGGCGAATGGGACACACCACTCTCGTTGGTTTTACCCTCAGACGCTCAAGTATTATGTGCTGATTCACGACGCTCTACTTGGAAACCAGGCCAAGTAAGGATGCTCCTCCCTCAGGGAATGGGGCAGTTGCAGAAAATTAAGCACTTACCATTCAAGCTGGTGACCACGCAACCACGGTAAACAGTACTGTGTGCATACGAGCATTGAGGAGGCATAAAAGAGAGCTGCTAGACAGACAAAGGTTCTATTGATGCGGAGAGCAAGTCATCTGCTTCTTGCACAAGAGATGCGGTGACGTCAGAACGACGCCGAGCTATGATTGGCTTTGATTGAAAGGGTAGTGGATAAGAGGACAAGAGCTCGGCATTCTGACATCATCGCAACCCATGTGCAAGAAGCATACAAACTTGCGGCCCACATTGGCACCAGGTGGTAAAAGCGATGGCACTCTTAAAAGATTTCACCTTTATTTTGTCAAAACAAAAAATATATGCCTTCATTCGTCCACTGCAGTGGCACATTCCAGTGTCTTTAATCCATGGCTGTACACCTTGTACTACGGAGAGGCTTCGTATAACTAAATTTAAGCCATTACTAGCCCTCTTCATTGTTGTATAGCATTTGTTGACAGTAAGCTTCTATTATGTGCACTTGACACTTGACATTTATCAGTCTTGAGGTTTCCAACAGATAATAGGGAGACGATCACCATCAACTGAACGTGGCTTGGCGGCCAGTGAATGTCTCTTATCATTTATTTCCTTCTATTTTCTTCAAACACCTCAAGTCTTCCGCTCGCGTCTTTATTTAATTTTTATGCTAAAAAATTATCAACAATTGTAGTGATTGTAGTAGATAAGAAGCACAGAGTGTCTTTTTCAATGAGCCTTCGGCACGCACTTGTTGCCTCCCGTCGTGCTTTGACTGCACTTGCACACTCACGAGATGCCGAGATGCCCAAGAGTTATTAGAGGTAGGAAGCAAAGTCCTCCCTGCTGTTATTATCTTGCCTGCAGTTCTTATCTTGTCAGTGACTAAGATAAAATGTTTTAAGGGTTTCCATTTTTTTTTTTAGAGTAAAACCTTGTTATAACAAAATGAGATATAACAAACTAATGTATATAACAAAGCAATCATAATTACCCTTGCTTGCTAATAGTGTGAAGAAATGGACAGTGGCTATAACAAACTAATAGTTATAACAAAATAATTATGACCGCTCCTTCATCATTGTTATAACAAGGTTTTACTGTAATTGGAGTTTTTTCCAGATTTTATTTGTTTCTAAAAAAAACATTTTTTTTTTTTTTAATTTTTTTTTACCGGTTTTGGCAATGAATAATATCTCACGAAACCTCTTGGCTCTCTCAAGGTCCCAGCTGTATGAATGTTAAGAAGCTAGAAAACACTTTGAACTTGCTTTGTTAGCATTGGGAGTTTTTTCAGATGGCTCATAGTTTAGAAGCATTACTGAATAAATACATTGTGACCTGACAGTAGCACGCAGCTTGTCCAGCATCGGAAGCCTTGCAAGGCGTTCTGCTCTAATTGTCTTTGTTACAGAGCGGAGGCAACATTCCAGGGCATGAAAAAACTGTATGGTGCCAGCTGCTGCCACCTACTTCAAGTCAACTCTGCTCCCGCTGACGATCCAACTGTCTCCAGTCTTCCAGACCTCTGGTCACAGTTCTTGCATGCAGAATCCTCTGACAAGGTGAGATTTGCATGCCTACATGTCACGTGGTTTTTAGTAGCTGGCTGCAGATAAGTAATTGTATTGTTTTGAAAGGAAGTTGACTGGCTAAGTAGTTTGGTGTTCTACAACGTAACTGCAGTTGTAAGGAAATGTAGCCTCTTGGCGTGTTTATCATGGTTCCCTTAACTAAATTTCCTATACCGTAAAATCCCCTAAGGGCACCCACCCAAAATAAAAACATGAGGTGGGCTATCTTTGGGAATGAGACAGCAAAACTTTATAAAAAAATTAATGATAAACACAGGGGCATCCGTTACAAACCATGTGGCATGGGAACTCGTAATGCTGATCGCGGGCATGGCAAATTCGCCTTTCACAACGCAATAAACATGCTGGAATTTGCTACAAACTCCTCTGTCATGGGTAAGGATACCGCGGATGCATCAGATTCATATTTTATGGTGCAATAAACATGCGGAAACCGGCCACAAGCTTACGTGGACAAAAAACGCGGGAACTCGCTATGAACACGCATGTCACGGGGACCCATATTGTGCTGAGATCGCAGACAAAAAATGGGGAAACCTGCTGCGAACTCGTTCGTTACATGTACTGGCACCGCAGCTCACATGGTTGATGTGATTCCTGTCCGACGGGAATCTGGAGGTGAGCAATGTTTTGGAATTTTTATGTTGCGAATATTTAGCCACAAAAACCGGATGGCCGATCTCTTGGGGGAGAGCGCCCTTATGGGATTTTACAGTAGTTGCTTCTGATTTGTAGTTCAAGAATAATAATTGGGAGAAGGTTCAAGAATAAGCTAGCAAAAACAGCTTGTGATTGTTCAGGTTATTGCTCTTTGCTTCTTTTCTTTTTTCGTTCATCAGCAGGCTGTGAACGACACTTCTTCCAAGGCCCTAGGAAGCAACTTGTCTCTCGACGACGACATCTTTCAACAAGGTGGGACATCCCTTTTTCTTTTTTTTTTACAAAATGCAAAAAAGGAATACGTACATCCTATGTAGGGCACCTGAAAAGTCTTGCAACTGGTGCCATGACTACAAAGGTGGTGTCTTAAGCGCTTGCCTTGCCGTTGGGGCAATGTGACCACGCTTATGTGAGAACCGATTCTGAGTGCACCATGTAGGCAACAGACATGTTTTGTTGCAGAGCTTGGTAACTCCGACGATGAGACGAGAAACCACTGTGCCGTGCAGCACCCTCTCCTGAGCAGTGGTGACTCTTCTTCGCCCACTCTGGATGTTGCGGTGAGACAGTGTCCCGGGCTTTGTGTTCGGGTGGAGGGAGCTTTCACATTGAATTTAAATTGAAGTAAGAGTTAGAACAAGGATGAACTGGATAAGATCATGCTATTTTATACCTTTTTCTTTGTTTAAAACTGAAAACATTTCTAAAGGATAGAGCTTTCAAAATAAAGAAATGATTCCTTTTGGGATAGCATTATTTGACATAGACATTGGGGTTTGAATCTGGCTCGATAATTAGCAAACAGAGTTCCTAAAGTTTACTGGTTACTCTTAAAAGCTTTTTGTATGCCCTCATTTTCTCGTAGATTTCACACCGTTAACTGGCACTCTTTGACCCCGTGCTGGCTATTTGGACATCGATTAAAAACCGTTGTCATCATCATTGCAAAATTTCAGTGCTGATAAAATATGTCACATGAGCTGTGACTTTGCAACTTGCAAGTTAGACTCAGAGGGCTGATGATATGTATTGTTGAGAAAAGAAACTTCTCAAGCGCTTTCTCTGAAGATAACCTTTCATTTTTATCAGTCGAAATAGCCTGTGGTTCCGAAATTTGTACTGATGATGCCACAAATTTGCACTGATGCCAATGCACCAAATCTCAGAACCACAGGCTATTTCAAATAATAAAAATGCAGCTTATTAGATTAGTAGCAGCTACTAATCTGAGCTCTCGCAGGGGCAGGACAGCTGCACCAATTGCGCCATTTTAATACATTCACAATTTCTTGCACCTGGTTTCGCCAAGAGCGTGAAATCAACCAAAATTGCGCCACGCTGCCCCAAAGATCACGGTTGCGATTGATTTAGCAGAAAGTGAAAGCTCGGTTTACAACCTTGACTATTTCATTGCCAGGTGGCGCAAGCCACTGTCTGATTCTTTGGTTTAGTCGTATTTGTCCATTCATCCATCTATCGGCGTACCATATTTACTCGAGTAATAGCCACACTATTTATGAACAAGGCCCTTGCATCTACTTTCCCGGAAAGCACATATACTGGCAATCATTGCGTTCTGCATAAATAACATAGCGAATAACTAGATCGAGAACACGATTCTCCATACAAATGCAATCTTCACAGATGGTATCTTCGCACGAACCCGTTATCTCTGTCCTGTAAACCGCTGGAATCATGCTGTCGATCACGGTGATTGGCAATCTGGATGCTCTGTGGAAAACCAAACCCTCGGGCTTTCTTCATGAACAGTGCAGCTATTACTCGAGTAAATACGGTATATGTCCGCTCATCTATCTGTCCGGTCGTACCGTTGCATCATACATGAAACATACCACTAAGTATGGTGCAATATAGTAGCTTGTTTCTGAGTTGTGCCCCTTCAATTTTAATTGAAATGTTTTCCTAAAAAAAATTATCTCACTGTGTGCAATTTCAGATATTTCACAGTAAAGTTCTATTCAATACTTTCCAACGCTTGTAGTACAAACCTAGTTTGCTTGAATTGTAACCCATGGTACGACTGGCAAAAATGCTTGATTAAAATGATGTCACAGTTACTTCTTAAGTGCTTCAGAATGCTGATCTTTTAGTCTTAGTGCTCCAAAAATGCAAATTTTTCTGCTCCTAAGTTACTTCAAAAGACAGACTTTTTGCTGTTGTCAAGCTCACACTGTCTCTGGCATTTGTTTGCTGTATCTTCCTGAGGCTGCATGTACAATGAGCACCAACATTCTCTGGTAACTGCAGGCCAGCGAAGATAGCGTTTGGCGGAAGCCGGGATCCCGCCTGGGACGCTGCCTGTCGCAGAGCGACCGAGAGCGTGTGCGAGTGTTTGTCCAGGAGTTCTGCAGTCAAGGCTTGGTCCCTTACGTTGAGGAGCAGATGCGCATTCTCAACGACCAGGTTTAGTTACATGTTTGAGCTGAAAAGTGGATTTTTGCTGTTTCTTTTGCTTGTACTGCATACAATGCATTTTATATACTATGTCACCTAAATTTCCCTCAATCGAGGTCGGAAAATCTTCAGCAAACAAATATATAAATCGTCAAGGTACCTAGGACAACCCTATAGCCTCACTTAATTTTTAACCAGTGCATTCGAGTTAACCAAAACATTACACGCAGGAGAAAAAATTATTTCACTTAAAATAGGCCCTGAAGGTTTGGTTGTGCCTTCGGGTAAGGTCACTTGCCACTGACACTGGTGCCACCTCGTTCATTAATACAGTTTTCTGTATTAACGATTTTCATGCTAAGTGTTTGGAAATTTATTTGGTTTGGAATTGATTTGGAATCATTTTGTCACGCTTTGGGAGAGTTTTTCCTAGGAACCAACTGGCCCACTCGTGGTGCACTTTTGGTGTTATGTGGGAGCCAATCGGATCGGGTGAGGAGCCTACTAGGAGAACCAGAGAGACATCTGTAATCGCCCTGAAATCTCGCCGAGCGTTAAAAGGACTTACTGGCTTCTCCAGCTTTTCAAGAGACAGCATAGATAAGCTGGCACCCTGCCAACATCATCTGAAACGCACGTGAGACTAGCGACGTGCATGGTATGCTGCTGCTGGACACTGCTGCCTGAAGGCAACGAGATTTGGCAAGGCGTCAGGACTGTCAGCGTCGGCTATTGTATCGATCTGTAACTTTTAAATTGTATCTAAATAGTTTTTATCTAAATGCACAAGTAATATGTGTTTGGACTATTATAGACAAATTTTAAAATGTATTGGCAAGTTTTTTAAAGCTATATTCTCGAAAGATTTTTTTTTTTTTTTTATCCCATATTGCAACGGCTGAGCTTCTAAACCAGAGGTGTCTAAGGACCGTGATCCTGTGCTAAAGATAAGATATGCTTTGAGTACTTTAGGGTTCGTCTTGACACATGCTTGGGTTGCAATGTAAAATGGGTGCCACATGGTTTTCTATCTTCTCTTTTTTGCCTTTTTTTGTTTGCATCTTCAACCGCACAATTGTTGGTGTGCAAGACACTGTAAGCAATTTCGAAAGGATCTAACTTGTTGTGAATTTCGTGTCTGAAAAAATATTGCGAAAAATGGATCATGCGAATGTATCATCCTCCGATAACGAATACGTAGCATCCCCTCCCAATCGCAAGATATTCCTGAAACTCGCACATCCTAAAATTTGCAGAATATAGAGCCCGAGTAAATAACGTCCCAACTTCCTCAGGTGACCAACAAGAAAGGAATCCACCGCTCATTCATGAGCATGAAGAAACTCTTTGCTGGAAGCAAAACAGTTCCTCAAGGTCCTCATTCATCTGTCAACTCTGTCGTGTGAGTGAGACAACCTTTAGTTTATTTGTTGCATGTCAGAAAGGGTGGGAAAGCTGTTTAAAAATGAACTGCTCTACCATTTGCCAGTTATCTCTTATTGTAATTTCCATGTTACGTTTCTGCAAGCTGCTTACTAGGAGGTTTCACTGATCGTCAGTTAACACAAGCAGCATACCTTAGTGCCCAAAGACTGTGCTGTACACAGAGTTCAAACCAAAAATAAAAACCAACTGTTGTTGGCAACAGTGAGATTACTGCTTGGTGGAATGGGGGTGTTCTCTAACCTCCAGCTACGGCCAAGATGCTCCTGAACTGCAAGTGAGACGTCTGGGCGACCTGGCCTTCCTCTTCCAACTGTACGAGTTTGCCTACCAGGCCTACCACAGTGCCAAGAGGGACTTCAGCAGCGACAGTGCTTGGCTTCACTTTGCCGGCGCACAGGTACTGCCCTTATTCCGTGACATTTATTGTTGACAAGCTTAGGGCAAATGATCCTGCTGGTTTGGTGGGCTTTGGTGCATCTGAATCTGCACACAAATCTTGAGGCGCTGCTAAGCAAGATGCAGTATAGACTTTTAACCTTTAAACCACCGGTTCGCCTCCCATAGAACTCCATGTAATTACATACCGCTTAAAATGCAGGCGCGCGAAGGGAAATACCGGTTATAGTGCGGTTTCTGGAACAGCCCGCCGACCAACCGGCGCAGCGAGCATGCTTCCCTGTGCGACACTAGATAACGGCGCTAGCCGCAAGCGGCACTCGCGGGGCAAGGAGGTTGCTCGAAGAAGCGGGGATAAGCGAAAAGAGAGGCTTCAGTCACCATAGCGACGGAGGGACGCACACACGTGTCATTCACATGCGTGCGTCCCCTTCGCTGAGTTGGAAAGGTTGGAAACAACTGCAACGACAGACCAATCGCAAGTTGAGGATAAGTGTTCGCGCGCGTTGCATGCCGGTCGCGGGCCGGCTGCTTCTATCCGCAAACGTGGCGTCGGTTGTGATCGTCGACGTAGACTGCGTGGTGGAAGCTCATCGTTCCGCGTAAAAGCGCTATCCTTGACTGTGAATTTTTGTTGTGTGTCGCTATGATAACCCAGCACGTACTAGAAGGAAAAATCCACCTATTCGTGCGGCGATGTCGTGGCGGCACTCTCAAGACGGCAGAAACGCCCGTGTCGTCGTGTTTGTTTACTTAGACTACAGCTTTCTAAGCATTTGTGTTTTCGAACATCGCCTGGATTTGTTATTTGGAGCACTTCATGCCTGTGCTCAAGTTGAAGGTATTACTGGCGCGTACCGTATAAAGGATGCGAATTTTCACGCGTTTCCATCACCGGATAAAAGTGATTAGGGTTAGCAATCCTGAACGCTCGTAACGTCTGTCCGCAACCCGCGACGCCGTTAAAAGGCTGCGCCAGGCAAAAGTCACTCATTTCTTTCAAAATGTGTGACACACTTGAGAGAATAGTGTACTAGTCTAGTGAAATAAAGACTTTCTTCAAACTAAGCTTTATTTTTCGTTTAACATAAAATAAATTGTTTTACAAAGGTAAGTTGTCTCATGGCATGTATTTTGGCCTTAAAAATTGATGTTTTGGTTATAGCGCGATACCGCTTATAGTGTGGATTTTCGCGACTCCCGCGACATACATTATATGTGGTCTACCCTGTAATCTTTTTTTTTTTTTTTCAAACATAACATATGCACAAATCTTGTGAAAATACCCACCAATTTCAGCCTGAAATTTTTGAGAATCTGGAGTGAAAATTGCTTAGTCTTTCTATGCAACCGTAGTGGGAGTTGTGAAGCATAAATACTGTCGACATCTGCAAATGGCATTTCTGTTCTATTACCTCGTAGCTGTGCCAATTGTTTTGTAGGAGGACAAATACTGATACTGCTAGAAAGTTTTTATGCATTCTTATTCAAATTGTGAGCTGACGCTTTGTGGACACCTCTATGAGATGGTTCAGTTTTAATGCTGAGGTTTCTGGGTAACATACAAGTCTTTGCAGCTTTGGGGTTGTCATGGGAAACTTGTTGCCAAGTTAAGATCTTTACGTGCTGTAAATGAATTGCGAGCTATTTTTTCTGTCTAGGAAATGGCTGCCCTGGCGGTGTTTATGGCAGGCGTGAATGCCCAGCGACCTTTCCCATTACGTTACATGGACTCGGCAATTGACCTCTACCTCAACACCTGCAAGTGAGTGGCTAGTCATTTCTGCCCTAGACTCCACCTCGCGGGCTATGTGCAGCACTATCAAAGGCACGCGCAAAATATTTTGTTTGCACTAGCACTATGTGCAAGTACTGTACCATATTTTACCAAATCTAGATCAACTTTCCTATGAACAAAGCCCGCGTGTCTACACGCCTCCGTAGTATACACGCCTCCGTAATATACACAATTTGTGCGCACACTTTGCCAGATTATGGAGATTGAGGTAGGTGCTTTAGGATTAATGTGCTGACATTTTTGTTTGTTCAGTCACGCAAGGAGGTGCATTTGGCACTTTTCGTGGAAAGCACTGGGATAAAGAAAGATGTCAAAACTCTAGTAAAGTGTCATTTCAATCTTTTAGGGTTTCGAAACAGCAAATGCTGGGACTTAAGTGTTTTGTTATCTCTACATTTTTTCTCCCATTTTTGACCAAAGGAGCTGTTGGATAACTGCCTACCTAACATTAGCACTGCTATGTCCCAGACTTCCCCAGCTGGCAACGAGGGCAGCCCTGCTGAGCACAGAGTGCCTTCGCCACCTGGGACAGCACTCAAGCGTAGCGGCCCAGCTGATCCGGCTGACGAGCGAGGACTCTGACCTGCGCAGTGCGCTTCTCCTCGAGCAGGCGGCCTACTGCTTCCTTCAAGCCGGCACGGCACCCTCGGTGCGCAAGTATGCCTTCCACGTGGTGCTAGCCGGACACCGCTACAGCAAGGCAGGGCACCGCAAGCACTCCCTTCGGGCCTACCAGGAGGCGCTGCAGGTAACCTTTCTTTCTCTCACTCGTGGAGGAACACATGCACAGAGGACTGACTTCAAGCACTGGTATGCCAATGCGTGCAGGTGCCTGGACCTTCTTTGTGGTTTCGCTTGGATCTTTTATTAATGTCTACCCTAGTGTAGTACTTTTGGGTAAACTTTCACTGGCCTTTGCATGCCTATCCCTCAATTATTTGTAGGGCTCTGAATTTTTGGATAAAGGCGAAAAACGCTTGCCGGCAGAATATTTGTCACCTGGGCTTTATTCGAAGAGCTCGAGATTTTTGAAATCGCAATGTCAAAAAAAACTTCTCAGCTTTTCACATTAGCATGGGTATACAGTGCCGGATGTGCGATCTTGAAAGTAAGCCGCTCTATCGAGGGTTTTTATCGTCGGCATCCATTCAGGAGAATGAGTCAATGTTGCTGTATTTCTGGGTCATGACAGAAGGCAGTCTAAGCATGCGATTCTGTTATCCTCTGTCCCAGTTTCGACTACCGTAAAATACCGGGAAAGCGCCCACTCAAAATTTGGAGATAATAGCAAAATAAATTGGGGATGGGCGCTTGTCCAGTCATCAATTTTACATACAAGTGTACTGTGCATATTTTCTCAGATCTTACAAATTTGCAAATGGGCGCTTAGTACGGAATGGGCGGATGCACGGTATTCTACGGTATTCAATTTGAGCTTTTTACTGGGACAAGGAGGCTACCTTTATATAATGGTGAAAGCCATTTTCTGCTGGTATCTTTATATATTTTTATTCATTTGTCTGTGGATATTTAATTTTAATCATAGATTTTTAGAACATTGGGCATAGTAAAACAAAAATTAAACTCTGGTAAACACCATATTTTTGAGAACTGGATATTTTACGGAAGTTAAAATTGCAACGAAAAAGAAACCCGAAAAGAGACCGACCGAATTTCACCCAACGTAAGGTTTGAAAACCCAGACCCCTAGGTATATGTCTCATACGTAACACACTTGGCCCAAACATAGAAATGGTGCGTGCTCAACCCTGCTTCCTAAGTGACGGTAATCTGGAACAGTAATTTCCGAGATGCATTCCGTCATTTTGATGGAACATGGTACGGGACACAGTTGTAGCAGCGGCCCATTGCTTGCGTATGTGGGCGCAGGTGTACCAGGGCCGCAACTGGAGTCTGGCAGAGGACCACATCCACTTCACTATTGGCCGGCAGTCGACATACCTCAAGCTGCTTCAGGGGGCCCACGAGGCATTCCACTGCCTGCTGGCCAAGCACAGCGAGCAGTCACCCACCCAGCAGCTGCTCTTCCTCAGGGAGTACCTCCTGGTGCTCAAGGTGAGGCTCTTTCGTTGCCTGGATGTTGTCTGCCCGTGGGCGTCTTGTGCGAGGGAGCTCTGGCGGGCCAGCCTGAAAAGTCTGCACCCAAGGTTCTTCTTCAGCCCTCAAAAGGAGGGAGCAGAGCCATAGGGTTTGTGCAGTGAAGCCAGAGGAAAAGCTCCACATCTTCCCACGCATTTGGGATGCTTCGGAATGGTGCTGCATAGAGGCAGACATCGGTGGTACCGATGGATTGTGGGTGGGCCCAGATTGCAGTAAACACAAAGCAGCAGCAAGCGACCACTTGCAAGGTCGCTACTTACAATATTAAATAGGTCAACCTTTTTACGAATAGGCCTGTGTGTCTACTTTCCCGCAGAATGCTTACGAAAGGAGCCGGCGAATGACAAAACAAAAATAACATTCGTAATAAAAAAAATGCGATCCACACAGATCTTATTTCTGCCTTCCGAAATTATGGGTGCCTCGTCATTCGCCGGACCTCTTCCACAAGTAGCGATGATTGGCTTTTCTTAAGTGTTGCAGATAAATACACGCACACGCATTGTTTGTGAAGAAGTCTATCTATTTTAGAATAAATATGGTAGCCTTTTTAGTTTTATTTTGTGAGAAAACACCGGGGTCGTGCATTGTACAAAGAAAACATAAGTTTTGACAAGCACTCTACACATACTCAAACAGCTTCAATGCGTCACGGCTAAACGAACACACCTAACATATCGTCTGCTTTCTTTTTATGCTCTATGTGGATATATTCTGTTTTGAGATGCAAGCAGGTGCTGAAGCTACAGACTTAATCTAGTAAACAGTAAGCTTAGTTAGCCCTAGTACATTGCACTACCGTAGGCATCCGCATACAAGCTTTTTCGTGTGTCCTCTGGCATCGGTGGAGTATGCACCGCTTAAACATGGCTGATGCGAAGCTGCAGTTAGAGTTAAGTGCCATTCGCACACTTGCAACCGAGTAGGACGGAGAGAGACAAGACCGGTTTTCAAGCCTCTTGCAACGGCGTAGGACCAGAGGCGCCGTTGCGGAGCAGGTTCTATGCCGTCCCAAGAGGCTTAAAAACCGGTCTTGTCTCTCTCCGTCCTACTCGGTTGGAAGTGTGTGAACGGCGCTTTATAATAATAAGAATAATAGGTTTATTTCCGACAAGCATACAGTGTTGGTGGGGGCTTTGGAAAAAAGCTGTTGATACAGCTTGACTGGTCCTTAGCCCCCATAACTTCAGCAGCCACAAGCAGCATGCAAGAAAAAAAAGGAAATACACTGAGAACACTAAACAAAAAAGAGGTTGAACAGTCGGCAAAGAAATATTATATGAAACTAAAGAAAATAAGCAGACACTATAGCAAAAAGTCACTTGCATAAAGTGTTCAAGGCACTATAATTGAAAAGTTCTGGGATACATTATTTAAGAGTAGACAAAAAAGAGCTCTGCCCCACAGCATTCAAGGAAAAAAACTAGAAAGAATAGTCTACGTTAATTAATTGTACAATATGCAAAACGCAAGCATATTCGCCTTTACAAAAACTATGTAGAAAATATGCACAAAGGCACCTCTCTCAAACCGCACTGGGCTCTGCTCATTTGAGGCTTATCTGCAGTTGAGTATGGTAACAAAAGTTGTTTTTTTTTTCCCCCGTTGATGCCACCGGCTTTCGAATAGACCTTTGTTCTGTTCAAGAGCCGAGCTTCTGCTAAACGGGGCGCCCACTTGCAGATGTTGCACGAGAACGACCTGGCAGCAGCCACGGTGCTTCTGCCGGTGCCAGAGGTGCACACGAGCTCCACGAGGGTCTACCTGGGACCCGTGGCTGATGAGGGTGCCCTCTGGGGGGACCTGGGCACCTGGCTCAAGCTGGAGGAGTGTGCCGCTGCAGTGGCCAACGACGGCACGCTCCCAGCCACCTTTCGTCCCCAGCTGAGTTTGCTCAGCGACGACACCGACAATGGGGCCAGGCCTCTCACAGTCGTCGGGGGTCAGTGCCCCTCACTCGATTACCTTTTTCCCTATGACCCTCTTCCGTATTTTGTGGTCTTTTGACATTAGCCAACATGTGGTGGACGCATCTTTTTTTTCTCGCATGGCCGAATGACGGCGAGCTCAGTTATATTAGCACTACTTTGCTATCGCAGATACAGTACCCTTTGGTAGCCGAGCCTAAAGAATTCACATGTGTGAGAAATGTCTAGAAGCTGTTTACAATGTTGTTGTTTTTTTTTCTTTCTGGCGATGATTTAATTGAAACAATTTTTCTCTACAAATTTATTAATTTAGTTTTTCGAAAAACACGCGGAGTTAGTTTGTGTTTGAAAAACACACTGGGGGGGGGGGGGGGACTAACAGCAGGCGACTGCACTCTCGTTTAGAAGGAACAATTAATGTGAATGGGAAAACCTGAGGCCAGGTGGGCCGGACAAGTTTATATCTGAGTGAAAGAGCTGTTATGAAGGCTTTGCCACTCATTCGAGCAGTGGTAATCGTTCTACGTACTTTTAAGTTTGAACCAACAAATGGTGAGAAACATCTATCGGGAGCAGAAGTATGAAGTTGGTTAAAACTGAATGTGACGCCGGTTGCCAACACTCACTACTTCAGGGACCGTGCACTGTTGTTTGTGCTGCGTGTCACCTGCTAGAGCTAGCAGTTTTCAGCTGTAGTACGTATCATATTTCAGTGACCTGTTTAATAATCAAAACATTTAAATGGAATTACGTAGATCATAATATTTGATCTGTGGCCTTTCTGGTTGGTACTAAGGAGAGCTGCATTGTTTTTGCCATAACAGAAATGAAGTGGAGTTGCCCTTTACAGGCTAGCAGTTGCCTTTCTAACCCAAGCAGTGATACTTTACGCAAGTTTTCCGATTTCCACAGTTGTTACAGAAGTGTTTTCATAACTGTTGTTTATAAAATATTTCTTACCGGCAATTGCCTATTACTACGGTGTCCGTGATGGGGAACTCGCAGAAATTCAGTCACTTTTCTGAGATGCTTAATCGTGAGACAACCGCAGCTTTTACCTGGGAAACTGGTATGTTGGATTAAAATGCCTCTAAGGTGTGGTTTTACTGTCCTCGGTACCTTCGTGGTGAACAAACGGGACTTAAACTGAACTAAACTTCCTTGGTGGATATTTTCAGAACCGGTGACAGTTGAACTAGAACTGCGCAATCCGCTCCAAATCGCTCTCCAGCTAAGCCAGGTGCATCTGCTTTGGAGCTTTCTTCCCTCAGACAGGGAGGACCTTATTAGCAATGACAGAGCTGATGCTCAGGCAAGTGACGTGCCCTTACTGGGACTTGCTTCTTTGACGTGCACGTGCACAGCGGACAACACTGCACGCTTTCTTTTGAGCAGGATGGTCAGGCAGCTACACTCATCAATACTGGCGTGCTGGACGAAGTTCTCCTCGAGTCTGAACAGAAGCAAAGGGTCAGTAGATGCAAGTGTTTTCTCGGGGCATTATTGAGAAGGATCTTTCCTTTGAAGTGAGTTCGGGCATAATCTGTGCATTGGCGGCAGGTGCGTTTGACCTTGGTTCCCCACTGCACGGGCGACCTCCACGTAACCGGGTTTGCCTATCGGGTTGGGCTCTCGCCCACCCAACTGGATGCAACCTCGGACCTCGGACCTCTGCCCAGCCCCGTGAGCGGACGCCAGTTGTTGTCGGTCCGGGGTCCGAAGCTGAAAAACCTCAAGACTGCCAAAAACGGACAGTTCTACTCTCCCGACTGGAGGCTGCATCCGACGGTCGTCGCTGCCATGCCACAGCTTACGGTAGGCTTCCACTTCCTCGCCAACCGTAAGGCTATTTGGAGGTGGATGTCATTTTAATCGGTAGTGGCACGTCCCGCACTACGGTTGTGTTTCCAAATGGGGATGCCTTTTCTTTTTTTGCTCAGGTCAGCTTCTCCAATGTTCCCCGGCAACTCCTCTGTGGCGAAGTGCAGCGCACCGTTCTACACGTTTCCAATGCGCCGAACCTCCCTGAACTCTCATCACTTCTCATCGCTTCACCGACCCCCCAACTCTTCTGCCTCGGCTTCAACGATCCCGACGACGAAGGCGCTCTGGGTTCGGCGGACGAAGGCATTGCGTACCGTGAAAAGCCCCTGCAGTCGAGCAGGGCAGCACCAGTTTTAGCACAGCGACCCACGGCAAACTTCGTCTGCAGTCTCCCAGAGGCTGTCTGCAGGATCCCTGGTGGTGGAGATGCCTCAGTGCCCCTGTGGATTCGGGGACCTGACGTAGTGGGACGTCACACTCTCAGACTGCTCTTTTACTACGAGAGTGCCCAGAAGAGTAGCAGGCTCACGTGAGTGTGAACATATTGTGTATGGGGATTACACAACTGTGGTCTTCACCTTTTTTTCGTGGTAAAAAAGGCTCGGATAATGTTGTTAATACAATTGTATATTTCTAATTAATTACGGATGCTGTGGCTAAAGACTGGGACTATAAGCCCGTGGGTGCGCTACGCTATTGTAGAAGCTCTCATTGAGGCGACCCAGGGTACAGCGCGAGACTTGTGCGCAAAAGCCAGATGTGGCACCTATGCATCGTCTCCAAAATCCTGCTCGATGTTGCCAAAGCACTTTCTGCCTAACTAATTGTGGACATAAACCGTAGTACTTGCTGAAAGCTCCAGAAGTACAGCCGAAAGCTATGCTATATTTAGTGTTGTACCATGACTCCTTCACCGCTCTTGATTCTCGGATCCTTTTTTCTTGTTACCGTAAAAGGCCTAGTTTTACTGTATTGCCTCTATTTGACACGGCACTGTCATCTGCGAGATTCAGGAGCCACATGGAATACATCATTACCGTAAAATCCCGAGAAATAGCCCACCTAAAATCGAGAGAAAATTTGGTGAAAATAAAGAGTGGGCTAACTTTCGATGTGCACTATTTTTAGATTATGTGTCTCTGTCAATCTTGTTATCGCGGCAAGGGGCAATGAAGCAAAGATGACTGTGCTTCCCAGTCAGCAATGTTCGCTTATACCCCGCCCGCCATAGCTAACTAGATGCATTTACGCCAAGGTCATCATTGATCCGAACACTATGATTACTAAGAGTGGGTTATCTTTCGGTGTTTAAAAGAAAATAGCAAATCAAGCCAAAAATAGGGGTGGCTTACCTTTCAGGGGTGGGGCATCTCTCGGGATTTTATGGGTAGGTCATTTTTATCATCTTTTTATGGTCTCTAAAGAGGAAATGGTTGAAATATGCAGATGAATGAACCATACGATCAAATGGGAATAAAGGTTAGAACGCTGCCAAAAGACAGTATATGGCGGTGTGGGGATTCGCACTTGGAGTCTCCTCGTTACTGGTGAGGTATGCTAACCACTACACCACATCACCTGGTTTTTTGGCTTTTCCTATTTAGCTTGCGATTGCACCGAAGCGGAATGTATGCACGAAAAGTAATATGATAACAGGATATGGATGAAGTGAAGGTAGTTAACTCTGTCCTATGAAGATGTTCAAATCTAGTTACCCAGTGGTTGCCCATGGCGATACTGAGCGCATCAGAATAACAGCTATGGTCGCCTATTTGTTTTGCACTCTTTGAATTGCAATAGCAATGCCGGGCAGCATTGTGTAGCTCTGGAGTCACCAAAGGGATATGCGCGTTGACTCATGGGCATGTCCTGTTTCAACAGGCACCGTGTTCTCTACCACAACATCCACTTCTCAACGCTTCCCTCGCTGGCTCTGCAGGCCTCAGCTCGACAGAGCGTGTCAGCAGTCGGGGCAGGTTCTCCCAACGGACTTCTAGTTTCCCTTCAGGCCAAAAACTTGAGTGAGGTAAGGACATTAGTAATGTCACTGCTGTTTGGCAGTCAGTAATTCACTCGTGTTGCAGGGAAGTGTATCTATCACTCGATGTGAAACTTTTGAGGTTACAAATGTGTAAATTAGCCAACGCCCTGTCTGGGTTTTTTAACTTTGTGGTTTCTTGCTAATGGACTGCACATTCCTTTTATTTGAAGGCTGAAAGCATTGGAGGCGTCGACCTTAGTTTACTCCAGGTGACGTGCGTGAGCCGTGTTTGGAATTTGATTCCTTTGACGACACACCTGAGGGTTGGTGAGTCGACACACTTAAGCCATTTCTCTGTGCTTGTCGGTTCTTTCTTATGTATTTTTTTGTTTTGTTTTTTTCAAGCATGGACCTTTGTGACAGCAGGGATGTCTAAAAGAACTTCTTAGCTGAAACTTCCCTTCTTGCTTTATATCCCTTGTCAAATGAGCTGAAATGTGTTCAGTACCGTATTCGCTAAATTATTGTTTGACCCCTACACTGGAAAACTCTTGGAGAATAATACAAAAATGTTCAGATATACAGTGTAGACTAGGGATGCCGCGAACTTTTTTCGAATCGAAGTTTCGATGATCGAATCAAGCGGTTCGAAAGGTTCGAAAGATTTCGATTTTTCGAATTGTCTATATCGTAAAATTCGACGGAGGTCGAATTTTCGAACTTGTTAAGCTAAGAAGTTCGACGCTTTTCGAACCGTCGAACTTATTACGCAAAAAAATTCGATCTTTTTCGAACTTTCGAATTTATTGCGCTGCAAGGTTCGATGCTTGTCGAACTTTCGAACTTGACTGACCAAAAATTCGATGAATTTCGAACTTTCGAACTTATTTATCAAGAGAATTCGAAAAGTTTCGAACTTTCGAATTCTGAAAAGTCAGAAGTTCGACGAACTTCGAACTTTTAGGGTAAAAGTTCGACGTTCGTCGAACTTCGAAAGACCGGCGAATGGTTTCATTTGATTTTAAGTAGTGGGGTACATTCGTAATTTTTTTTTCTCGAACTTTTACACGCGGTGCTGCGTTCCCTACGAAAGACAATGTCGTTTATTTCAATGTTCTGGCATACTTAGGTTTGAGGAAATAAATCCCCGAAGGGGCGAGGAAGGACGACGGGTTTTTGACGATTATCGTTTGTGCCAGATTTGAAGCACGCTGCAGCCGGAGCTATTCATGGTAGATAAGTTATACTTTTTTAAGAATGATCTATGTGTAGCCTAGGTAATATTAAGTGCCGTCTTAAGATGTGATTATTGTTATTCAACGTGAGTTTCGAAGAAATGTCCAAACATGTATCTGCATGCAATTATGACCTAAACTTGATATTTATTTTCGTCTAAGTTGTTTGAGGTATTGCATTTAAATTAACACCGCAGACACTACATATCATTGCCATCTGCAGAATACAAAATAATATATTTATTGTTTTTTTCATGTTAAGGAATAAATTAACTCATGGGAGAAGATTTCTAGTAGTGTTCACGTTCAACACGTCATTAAAAGAAAAATAAATAATTTCAGATTAAAATAAGCTCGACCACGCCCTCTTTCCCCGTATTATTTTCTTTAACAGTCCGAAATACCTGCAAGGGGGAGAAGAAGGCTGAAGCCCCCCCCCCCGCCGCTACCCTCTTTCCCCCTTTTTCCTCTTCCGACGCCACTTGTATGGTAGAACGCTCCTCGACCTCGAGTTGTGTCGGCTTCTGTGCTTTTTGCGAGGCGATTCCTCCGTCCCAGAAAATAAACCTCCAGGACAATTATAAACTTCACCGGATCGGATTACTACCAGCGTGCAAGGGGTGGCGAGCTAGTTTGCCAGGTCGCTTCAAGGTTTTTCTCAGCCTCAACCTCCTGCTCGCCCCTGGCCGTTTCAAACTGGAAGAGTCTCGTAAAACAGTGTGTTCGTGCAATCACTACGGCGTGATGCAGGTTAAAGACCCCCCCCCCCGGGGGGGCTGGCGGTCACAATTCTGCACTGGCAAATATTCTAGCACGTCCGGGACACTCGTCGTCTCATTTAATTGCCTGACCAACTTCGCAGAATCTAGATATCACACCCTAACTTTTCTAAACTTGATTTTGTGAAAACCAGTGAGTCGTGAAAACGTTATTTGAAACTGAAACTGTGGAAAAACTTGAAAATCGGACTTCGAACTTTGAAAACTTGGATTAAAAGAAATTCAAAATCTTCGAAGTTTTTTTTTTTTGAATTTAGCGTTAAAAGAGAATCGAAACCTTCGAACTTTTCGAACTTTATGCAAAAAGAAATTCGAAATCTTCGAATTGTTCGAACTTCATGTCTATAAAAATTCGAAGCGTTCGAAGTTTTCGAATTTTTTTTACAAAGAATTTCGAAATCTTCGAATTTATCGAACCTGAAGTAAAAAAATATTCGAAATAATCGAATTCGAAATTTTAGAAACCGTGAAAGCTTCGAACTTTTCGAATTCGAAACTCTGCTGTGGACAAAAGTTGCGAATTTTTCGAAATCGAACCTCGGTCGGTACGAAAATATCGAATTTTTTCGAAATCGAACTTCAGTTCGCTTCGCAAATATCGAAACTTTTCGAAATCGAACCTAGGGTGGTTCGCGACATCCCTAGTGTAGACCGCATATAACGTATGTCGCGGGAGTCGCGAAAATCCGCACTAAACAGTACCGCGCTATAACCAAAACATCCATTTTTCAGGCCAAAATACATGCCATGAGATACCTTACCTTTGTAAAAGAATTTATTTTATATTAGATGAAAAATAAAGCTTAGTTTGAAGAAAGTCTTTATTTCACCGGACTAGTACACTTTTCTCCCAAGTGTGTCGCACATTTTGAAAGAAATGAGCGACTTTCGCCTGGCGCAACCTTTTAACGGCGTCGCGGGTCGCGGACAGACGTTGCGAGCGTTCAGGATTGTTAACCCTAATCACTTTTCTCCGGCGATAAAAACGCGTGAAAATTCGCATCCTTTATACGCTACGCACCAGTATTACCTTCAACTTGAGCACAGGCATGAAATGCTCCAAATAAGAAATCCAGGCGATGTTCGAAAACACAAATGCTTAGAAATAAATCACCACTGTAGTCGAAGTAAGCAAACCCGACGACACGGGCGTTTCTGCCGTCTTGAGAGTGCCGCCACGACATCGCCGCACGAAAAGGTGGATCTTTTCTTCTAGTACGTGCTGGGTTATCATAGCGACACACAACAAAAATTCACAGTCAAGGATAGCGCTTTTACGCGAAACGATGAGCATCCACCACGCCGTCTACGTCGACGATTACAACCGACGCCATGTTTGCAAATAGAAGCAGCCGGCCCGCGACCGGCATGCAACGCGCGCGAACACTTCTCCTCGACTTGCGATTGGTCTGTCGTTGCAGTTGTTTCCCAACGCAGTGGAGGGACGCACGCACGTGAACGACACGTGGGTGCGTCCCTCCGTCGCTATGGCAACTGAAGCCTGACTCTTCGCTTCTCCCCGCTTCTTCGAGCAACCTCCTTGCCCTGCGAGTGCCGCTTGCGGCTAGCGCCGTTATCTAGTGTCGCACAGGGAAGCGTGCTCGCTACGTTGGTAGGTCTGCTTGGTCGGCGGGCTGTTCCAAAAACCGCACTATAACCGGTATTTCCCTTCGCGCGGCTGCATTTTAAGCGGTATGTAATTACATGGAGTTCTATGGGAGGCGAACCGGTGGTTTAAAAAAACCGCTTTATACCCGGTCCTGCACTATAAGCGGTTACGTTGTAAGTGGTCTATACTGTTTGTAGGTCAGCATTGATTCTTTGCAAGAAGTGGGAAGGAAGAAAATGAGGAAAGCCAGTTTTTCGCAACGTCCCTCGACGCCCAAGCTAAAACTAATTTGTTGCACTGAGTATTTCATTGTCCGAACTTCCAGTACAGTCGACTACTTGCCTCTGTGCTTTGGCACTAGCGCTTCATGGCTCGCATCAAGCTTCACCTCTTGGCAACAGTGTTTTCACATCAAGCTTCTCCGCGTTGCATTGGTGTGCTTGTAGAAGCAACTGATGCAGAGAAACATCTTGGTTTGCTCAATGGCATTGGAAAGTTGATCAGTATTGTAGGTTGACCTCCTTTGGTCATGTTTATATGTCGACCACAAATTTGTAGGAACAGTGCCACAGACGTCAAACTATATTCAAATAAATATGATAGACAGCATTGTAAGCCCCTGCTGGCTGCTTGATGCTTCTGGCCAGTGTTCCACTCTTATCTCCTTCACCGTGTCTAATATGGGAGGGCAAAGATAATAAGAAGGACACACCACTTTCTTTTTAGGGGCAAGTGTAGTGAAACCTCAGGAAACGAAAAACCTAGTCTTCAAAGCTGTTCCCTTCAGCTCCAAATGTAAGTTCTGGTGCAACTTTTGACCGAGTGATGGATCTCTTAGTATTTTTGTTTAAAAAGGGAGTAAAAATTGTTTGTCTCTGTCCTTCCAGTGAGCCAGGATAACACAGCCGTTGTTTCCCAACTACCGTTAGCACGGGTTCAGGTGAGTCATGACACATGCTGTCAGCCTCATACCTGGTTCTGGACAAGTTTATTTTCGAATGGATTCCATCTCGGTAGTCTTGTAAGCAAAGGTAGTCTGAACCGTTTGGAGCAGAGGGCAGATGATGTCGAAGACATTTCCGGTTGCAAATGACTGCCCTCGTGCTTAGTGCCCGACTGCTGGTGTAGCAAAAAAGCTGTTGCGAAAAGAAAATGATTAAACATTGTCTGTATGATTTTTAGAATGTCACCTGCTAATTTGGCGTCCAAACTTGAGAGATGGTGTCACATCTACTCGCTTTCATTCGTTGAGATGCACTATTCATGAAAGACTGTTGCTTGCATTTCTTGTGTCATTGTGTACGGGGCAGTATTTGAACGTCAGAACCAGGGTTCTGACGGTGTTTGTCACGTGAGCTCTTGCTTCCTCTGGATTGAGGCTTGCCTTCCCTTCCACAGGTGGAGAGCACGTGCACGCCGTGTCTTGATTTCTGTTGGCGAGGAAGCCAAGAATGGCCACCCTTGAGCCAGGAAAAAGCGTCCTCCCAGGGAGACAATGTAGCCATGCAACTTGCAGCAGCAAACTTAGAGAAGGCACCATCCCTGGACATTACCCTTGCAATCCTTTGGAAGGTGGGCTACATTAATTCAACAGCTAATTAAGTGAACTCAACCAGTTAACTTGTGGGTAAACCAACATAGCAATGACCCTATTTGTCTGGCAATGGTACCGGAACTTCACAATGAAACTGTGTGGACTCGAAGATATGAAAATGTAATTGTTGCAGCATTTTTGTCCCCTACAGCAACACCCAGTGCAATTTAAAAGCTTTCCGAATTAAAAAAAGTTGCCCCTTTGCCTTACTGTACGGCAAAGGCAGTGGTAACACAGAATGTGATGTGTTAGTATGGAGAAACTGCATACTACACATGTGGAAACTGGATGGCACAAAGCAGCCCTGTGTCGTGCAAGGTATACATGCCACTCCATGGATGTCTTACTTTAGGATGCCATCTTCTGGAGTGGCAATAGAAATACGACTTTCTTAGAGCCTGTTGGAGTGTGAGACGCAGTAGACGGCGGGTGTGGAAAACAGAACAGTTGGAACGCAGCAGCGCCAAGCAGAGCTCTGGCACCAGCTTGTAGCAAAAAGAAACCAAACGCACGAAACTATTCCAAGTTCTCAACCCTTGCAACAAAGGAGTTTGATTTTTTTTTTTTTCCTGCTTTTCTGTTGCTCTTTTTTGCATTCTTTCTCTGGGGAAGCCCAGAGTGCGCTCGTTTCACGGCGCAAAGCGCCACTGTATGTCTGAGCACGTTACCCCTGCCGGGAGTAACACACAGGCACTCGAGGAACAGGTTTGGCTAGCACTGGTGTCCAATCACTGAGGAGACGAACGCTGCATCAACGTTCGGCTGGCAGTTGGCCTGTCGACTTTCGTTGCTGACACCTACATAGATACGTGCCAGCCATATAACGCATTCTGTATTAAAACAAAATAAAATAAAGGTGGCTGGTCATAAAATACCAACGTCGTGGCCACTTGTAATTTAACACAGTTTTTCCCGAATACATAGTTGATGAGCTTAGTTTGGCGTCAACTAGTAGTTTGTCACGTCCCCCTTGTAACTTGTCGGAAACAGCCTGTAGGAAACAGTGGCAGGATGGATATCTAACTTGCAATGGTTGCTTCGTGCAACAAAACAAATAAATAAAAACTTCTGGGGGACTTTTTTCTAAATTTGATTTAACGTAAGCCACATTGTCTGGGTGCACTTTCAGGCTGCCATCGAGCGAGATGGTCAGATTAAAGTGGTCATGGGACAGCAGCATGTGACTTTGAAGGACTTCCATACGCTCTTCTCGTCTGTGCCTGGACAAAAGGTGAGGTGTTCCCTTGGTGAGTGTTTTACCGAACCACATTACTGAGCACAATTGATACAGTCAGTTGCACTTGCTGCGTTCTGCAGCGAGTTGGCATGCATCTAATTTTCATGCTAGAATGCATCTCCCAGTTCCTTTTAGAAAAAGCCTATTGCAATGAGGGGGGGGGGGGGGGACCTAATTCAAATTTGTCCATGTATTTATTCTAAGCACAAATAATTGTTTGAAAATTAATTGCCAATATTTTGGATCTTTTTGGGACCAGCTTTGACAGAGCCTCCTCATCTACTTATGTTAGCTGATGAATGGTAACCAAGTTGCCAAGAATATGTTTGACCCTAGTTTTGTTATTCGAGGGTTTTTGCAAAAGTATGTATTTGCGACTGTAATCAGAAGTTGCTGCTGACACAGATTCCCCAGAATGAGTTTGTGCTTGAGCAGATAAACAAAGTGCCCAAGTTTGGCGTCTTAGACCAAAAATTACCATGTTGGCTTGGCCTGTATGAAATAAGCCCATTAGTGAGCTTGATTGAATCTGTGTGCTTAGTGCTGATTTTTATCTTTTTTATTCAAGCTTTCTTTTACTGTAAACTGCTCATTATGCAGCTCTAGATGCTCCTGAATTTTCAAGGTTAATACATTTTGCTGTACAAAGCTTTTTCAATATCTAATTTATATCTTTAGGTTTTTTTGACGGATTCCCACCCAGGTTCAACTCCAGCGGTCGTGCAGTGTGTCATGTGAAGATTGAATTTTGAGAACCTTAGGTCCCAGTCGTTGAACTCTTTCACAAATTGAGAGATAGTGGAGCTCGTGGGTCCTGCAAGCATAGCAAAAAGCCACCTCAAGTGTTTTCCTTCATATTTGGGGGGAGGAGGTTACTATTAGTGTTTTGTATTGTGCTCTCTTTAAACACCTAGGTAAAACTTTCAGTTTTCGTGCCAGGAAGAAACTTCTACCTAGATTGTTTGGGCCTTCTAGGTATATAAAACCATACTGTAGTGTGAGGTATTAAACATCGCCACCACCACAGTTATGACCTGGTAGCATGCTGGTCGAGTGAACTTTTTGTATTTTTGGCAGGTAAACAAAGGTCCCTTGCGGCGCTAATATTTTCTAGCTTACTGCAGGCCAGCTAGAAACTGGACTAGAATGCAAGCCACAATTGTTTTGTACAGATGGATCTGAGGCCAGCAATCCCCGTCTATCCTACAATGGGACTTGCTGCCCCGACGTTCCAGTATGTTCGATGTGCGCTGGTTCATCCTGTACAAGCGAACCATGACTTTATGTCAAGCAGGTGAGGTTGCGACAGCTTTAATGCTTAAAGGGGCCATGCAACCATTTTGGAACTTTAGTCAAAGAATTGTGGGAGTTATTCCCCGTCACGTCAAGAGTAAAGAACTGGAAACCAATTTTTCCTGCGCACGTTGGAATTTTTATTTTTTTTTTAAATGGCAAACAACTGAAGTTGTGGGCGCCTCCCAACTGCTGTCAACTCCTATACTGTCTTCCGAGTCACGTGCACAGTGACATGTAGCCGAGTGCACTGGGGACACATAGTATGCGATTGGGTTCTCTTTCAGAGCCTCAAGCGCCCCAGCGTGCACTGCCTCTGCTTGCCATTCACATGGCGACCTTAAAGATTGGTGGTCTGAGCAATGTGGAGGGGGGGCAAAACGCTTGCTTTGTGGAGGGAAGTCAACTTGACGTAGTAGCACGGGGTGAGGCTCGAGGGAGGAATAGTTTGCTTTGCTATTAAGCAACGAAATCACAATATTTCAGAAGATGGAGGCAGTTTCTCCATCCCTTTTGGTAAAATAAACAATTTAAAAATTACAAACTGCAAATTCTTTCAAAGTTAAAATTGTTGTATCACCCCTCCAATATTAGTCTGGACATGTGCGAATAGTGGATTTTGAGTTTGAAGCAAATTCAAAGAAAATAGTGGTTTTTACCTAGTATTTTCTAATCAAATATAGAATAGTTTCTCCGAGCCTTTCACTATTGTTGCACCATGCTTAAACAAGCTAATTTTAACCCAGCTATATTTATGGACTCTGGCCTCAGAAAGTCAAATGCTTACATTGGAGTGGCAAGTAAATGATGACCATGTTGGATTAACCTGAGACTGGGGTAGAGAAGAAACATCAAAACGTAGAAGAGACAGAAAATAGGCAGGACAATGTCTCAAACTCAAACATTAATAATCACCAGCTCGCCTGCACCCTTACAATATTTTCTCTAAATGATGAATTTGACATAAAATTAAACCTATAGAGATTCCCAGCTATACCTGATCAGGGGGATTTATAAATCTTCTTGTTATGTGCAAATATATCCTTTCTTCAATCTTTAAATAAAAAAAAGAAGAAAAAAAAAGAAAATTGTGAATGATGAACACAGGTTGTCAGGACATCTCTGCCTAATATACACTTGCATCAGGGCCAGTTTAATTTTAAAAATTTACTCCAATGTAGATATCGACATTCACAAAGTTTCTGTTTCTTTTTAAATACACCAGGTGCAGACATGCATTATCCCGCTTTGAGAATGGGCGTTTCTCCCAAGTATGTGGCTGTGCTGCGTGCTTGGGAGCAAGCTCCACGGGTGTTGCTTTTCTGCAGTGCACCGGTGCTCATTCAGAAGCGCGCTCAATGGGGCTAACTTACCGTGATCAACGCTTGGAAAAGTATAAATATTGCAGTTCGTCTCGAAGTGAATATTGAATAGCGTATTATTCGAAACTACTATCCAAACATTTGCACAATCCTAAATCGGCAAGCTGTTGCACCAGTCAGACGTCTAGGAAGGGAAAAGGCATTATTTTTTTACATTTTACTCAGGTAAGTTCTTTTGTAGTAGATTGTAGAGCGATACGTTAAGAAATCAATTTATGTGGTCCCTTCAAAGGGCATTGCACCATCGGGTCCATGCTTTTGCATCTCTGAACTTTGACCCACTAGCAGAGTAATCCGGTTTGAATTATGAATGAATATTGCTCCGTTGTCCGAGTCAATGACCAGGGCTGTGAATTGGGGTTACTATTCCTTTTAGTGTTGATAAAACTAAAACTAGACTCTTCTCTGATTTTTTTTTTTTTTTTAAATCGGGCAGTTTCTGGGCTGATGAGAAATAAGCTTAAAAGCTATGGTAAATTCTAAGCACGTGCCCATATCACATGAAGTGCCCGCTACTTTGAAACATTTTAAAACTAAGCTAAGGGTGTATCAAGTGCCCAACCCCAGACTTTTGAGCCTTCTTAGCTAATCGGTATGACCCTCCTTCTAAGCCGTTTCTCCGAGCGCTCCAGTGCAAAGTGGTAAAGCCTGCCCTAACATGTGCTCCTTCTGCATTTTTTGTTCTTGGACCTAACAAGCACCCATCCCCAGTTTTTCACAATTATCTCCTAATTTTGGGTGGGCGCTTGCTGGATTTACTGTAAATATATGAGGTGTGTTTTTTTTAGGCATTACGGATTTTAAAAAAAAGAAAAAAAAATGTAAAAGCTACCCCAATGTGATCTGTGTAGGTGAGTTATACGGCCAGGGTGATCTACAGGTTTTCCCGCTCATTTTAATCCAAGCGACGACCAATTTAATCCCGGGGTCACTCAATTTAATCCAAGCGCCATACAATTTAATCCAAGCGCCACACAATTTAATCCCGGGGTCAGTCAATTTAATCCGCAATATATATATAATCCGCAATATATATATATATATATATATATATATATATATATATATATATATATATATATATATATATGCACTCATTGGGGGTGTTCAGTGGTCGTGTTTCGCTTACACATTTGGTAACTTAGAACAATTGTTTATACAATTAGAATTTTGGGGGGGCAATTGAGAATTTGATCACTAATGTGATTACTTTGAGTTACTAGTCCCACTATTGACGAGGCTTAACTGATATGTTGGTTACTCTTTTTAGAGCGCAGCTCTTAGGCACCCGTTTCCGGCTTAAGCGGCGTCGGCGTCGCCGTCGCCGTCGGCGTAACCACGCGGTGAATGATGGGTAAATTCTCCCGCTAAATTTAGCGGAAAAATTTCCCCGCTAAATTTAGCGGAAAACTTTTCCTGCTAAATCTATCGAAAAATTTTCCCAGCTAGGCTTAACGAAAAATTTGCCCCGCAGATTCTAGTGGAAAATTTTCCCCGCTAAGTCTAGCAGAAACGTTTCCCCGCTAAATCTAGTGTAAAATTTTTCCCGCTAAATTTAGCGGAAACTTTTTTTCCCGCTAAACCTAGCGGAATGTTTTCCCCGCTAAATCTAGTGGAAAATTTACCCAGCTAGATTTAGCGAAAAATTTTCCTCGCAAAGCCTAGCGGAAACGTTTCCCCGCTAAATCTAGTGGAAAATTTTCCCCGCTAAATCTAGCGGAAAATTTTCCCCGCTAAATCTAGCGGAACAATTTACCAGCTAAATTTAGCGGAAAAGTTTCCCCGCTAAGTCTTGCGGAAAATTTTCCCAGCTAAATCTAGTGTAAAATTTTTCCCACTAAATATAGCGGTAAATTTTTTTCCCACTAAATCTAGCGGAAAGTTTTCCCCGCAAAATCTAGCGGAAAATTTTCCCAGCTAGATGTAGCGAAAAATTTGCCCAGCAAAGTCTAGCGGAAAAGTTTTCTCGCTAAATCTAGTAGAAATATTTTCCCGCTAAAACTAGCGGAAAATTTTCCCCGCTAAATCTAACGGGAAAATTTCCCAGCTAGATTTAGCGGACAATTTCCCTCGCAGTCTAGAGGAAAATTTTCCCCGCTTAATCTAGTGTAAAATGTTTCCACTACAATTAGCGGGAAAATTTTCCCGCTAAATCTAGTCGAAATGTTTCCCCGCTAAATCTAGCGGGAAATTTTCCCAGCTAGATTTAGCGAAAAATTTGACCCGCGAAGTCCAGCGGAAAAGCTTCCCCGCTAAATCTAATGGAAAATGTTTCCCCCTAAATCTGGCGGAAATTTTCCCCGCTAAATCTAGCGGAAAAATTTCCCAGCTAGATTTAGCGGAAAATTTGCCCCGCCAAGTCTAGCGGAAAAGTCTCCCCGCTTAATCTAGTGGAAAGGTTTTCCCGCTAAATCTAGCGGAAAATTTTCCCCGCTAAATCTAGAGGAACAATTTACCAGCTAGATTTAGCGGAAAATTTTCCCCGCTAAGTCTTGCAGAAAATTTTCTCCGCTAAATCTAGTGTAAAATTTTTCCCACTAAATTTGGCGAAAAATTTTTTCCCGCTAAATCTAGCGTACAGTTTTCCCCGCTAAATCTAGCGGAAAATTTTAGATTTATCGGAAAATTTGCCCCGCCAAGTCTAGCGGAAAAGTTTCCCCGCTTAATCTAGTGGAAAAGTTTTCCCACTAAATCTAGCGGAAAATTTTCCCCGCTAAATCTAGTGTAAAATTTTCCCACTAAATTTAGTGGAAAATTTCTTCCCGCTAAATCTAGCGTAAAGTATTCCCCGCTAAATCTAGCGGAAAATGTTCCCACTAGATTTAGCGGGGAAAATTTTTCGCTTAATTCAGTAGGGAAAATTTTTCCGCTAGATTTAGCGGGAAACATTTTCTGCTAAAGTTAGCGGGGAAACTTTTCCGCTAGATTTAGCGGGGAAAATTTTCCGCAAGTTTTAGCGGGGAAATTTTTCCGCTAAACAGCGAGGAAAATTTGCCGCTAAATTTAGCAGGAAAAATTTTCCGCTAAATTTAGCGGGGACATTTTTCCGCTAAATTTAGTGGAGAAAATTTTACGCTAGATATAGCGGGGAAAAATTTCCGCTAGGCTTAGCGGGGCAAATTTTCCGCTAAATCTAGCTGGGAAGATTTTCCGCTAGATTTAGCGGGGGAAATTTTCCGCTAGATTTAGCGGGGGAAATATTCCACTAAATATAGCGGGGAATATTTTCCGCTAGATTGAGCGGGAAAAATTTTCCGCTAAATATAGAGGGAAAAATTTTCCGCTAGATTTAGCGGAGAAAATTGTCCGCTAAATTTAGCGGGACAATGTTCTGCTAGATTTAGCAGGAAAAACATTCCGCTAGATTTAGCTTAAAAATTTTCCGCTAGATTTAGCGGGGAAGCTTTTCCGCTAGACTTTGCGGCGCAAATTTTCCGATAAATCTAGCTGGGAAAATTTTCCGCTAGATTTAGCGGGGGAAATATTCCACTAAATATAGCGGGGAATATTTTCCGCTAGATAGAGCGGGGAAAATTTTCCGCTAAATTTAGCGGGGGAAAATGTTCCGCTAGATTTAGCAGGGAAAATTTTCCGCTACATTTAGCGGGGAAATTTTCCGCTAAATTTAGCAGGGGAATTTGCCCACCATGCACCGCGTGGTTACGCCGACGGCGTAGGCGACGCCGACGCCGCTTAAGCCGGAAACAGGTGCCTAAGAGCTGCGCTGTAAAAAGAGTAACCAACATATCAATTAAGCCTCGTCAATAGTGGGACTAGTAACTCAAAGTAATCACATTAGTGATCAAATTCTCAATTGCCCCCCCAAAATTCAAATTGTATAAACAACTATTCTAAGTTACCAAATGTGTAAGCAAAACACGACCACTGAACACAATAAGTCCATATATATATTGTGGATTAAATTGACTGACCCCGGGATTAAATTGTGTGGCGCTTGGATTAAATTGTATGGCGCTTGGATTAAATTGAGTGACCCCGGGATTAAATTGGTCGTCGCTTGGATTAAAATGAGCGGGAAAACCTGTAGTAGTGGCAGCTAATCGTCATAACAAGTCGAATAATTCATTAAAATTTGTCCATTACACTTTTAATTAGTACCAATAAATGTATGGTTCCAAATAGAAACTTGCCGAGCGCTATCGAAAACCACTAAATCAGTAAATTTCAAAAGGACTCTGAGCACATGGGAAGCGCGGTGGTGCACTAAAGTTGCTACTCGCGCAACAGGCACAAGGCTGGCAGTGTGAAAACGCAAATGATAATCTTGTCATCTGCGTTTTTACACGGCCATCCTTGTGCCTGCTGTATGTGCACTCTTTCCAGTTTTATTTAGAAAGTTCTAGGAGAGCGAATTAGAATGTTTCAAACGTCTAGAGTCCCGTTGACACACTCGCGTTTGCTTAGGATTGAGTTACTTGTAATCTCTCACGATGAAAGGTGACCCTGGAACTGCATTTTACTGGAGCAAAGGTTTTGTGGTATTCACGAGATCAAATGTACATGCTATTTACAAGACATGGCCAATCATAACATTGTCAAAATTTTTTCAAAATAAAAAAAAAAGAAGGAAATGATGCACGAAAAAGGAAATATATATACGGTATTTGCTAGTGTTTTACGGCTACTCAATAGATGGTGCCACTGTGCTTCCACGTCTTAAGAGATTTCAAGAGGTTTTATGCCACACGGTCGTAAGCAGTTGCAAGCGTGTGAACCAACCAGCCTTAATATAGTTGGGATCACTGATCTCTATGACAATTTGCTGGATCGCGCATCCCCGCTTGGTCGCTGCAGTGCAAGTGCGGCCACCAGATGACAATTTTGGGACACGGAAAATCAACCTTTTGGAGCGTTGCGGAGGCTGGGCGGCAGCATGCTGAAGACACATTCTTTGCTCGTTCGTTGTCATTCGCCGAAAACATTTTTTAAAAGCTTGTGTAAGTTTTTACGAAAGCGCGACACCGCAGGAAAAAGGCACAACTCTTTGAACGCAAGTCTCGCCGGTCTCGTGGCGTGACCAAAGCTTCCTTGGCATGCCAAAGTGCTGCATCTCTGCTTTTGCACGCTCAATCAAAAATCGACACCGTGTAGATTTGTTTCACGGGTGCAACGTGCATGAAGATGTATGTGCCTCTGGAGCAGCGTTCTACTTGACTTTGACTACTGTATTTGTGATTTGCGGCACTCGCGGTCCAGAAACGAACGTGATCCAGTGGCGATAGAAGAGGGGTAGGGGGGTACGGCGGCGGCGACAGATTGCACACGACCATATGGGCCGCGTTTAAAAAAAACTTGATCTTGCCGTTTCATACTTTTGCATTCGAAAAGTTACCTTCCTCCACAGTGCTCTATTTGTGATGTCATGTGATCCATTCGAGTAGATTTAGAACATAGCCATGGTTAATCGTGCATATTAGCAACCACTGATTTTTTTTCCTCTATTGATAGCAACGCGCCAGAACAGCTGGGCGATCCAGAACGCTGGAAGAGCTGGGCGATCCAGAACGCCTGAACAGCTGGGCAATCCAGAATACATCTATGCACGACACACCTTAAAACTTTGCCACGGCATGGATTCTTGATAAGTGTCCAAGCGTGTGAAGGTAGAGATGCAGCACTTTGGCATGCCAAGGAAGCTTTGGTCACGCCACGAGACCGGCGAGACTTGCGTTCAAAGAGTTGTGCCTTTTTCCTGCGGTGCTGCGCTTTCGCAAAAACTTAGTTTTAAAAAATGTTTTCGGTGAATAACAACAAACGAGCAGAGAATGTGTCTTCAGCATGCTGCCGCCCAGCCTCCGCAACGCCCCAAAAGGTTGATTTTCCGTGTCCCAAGATGGTTTTCCGGTGGCTGCATTCGTGGAGCGGGGATGTGCGATCCAACAATTGTCACAGAGATCAGTGGTTAGCATTGTCCGACTTCTGCTGCAGTCAGAGTTTCTGACCAGAGCTGCACATGCGGTTCAACAAACTATACTCCTCCTCCGTCTCTTCTAGAATTCTGGTGATTCCAGTGAGCCTCGTAGTTCACAACTCGAGCTTTAGGACCGTCACAGTAAGCATCGAGCCGGCCGTCAGGTAAGCCACACGAGCGAGCACCTTCTAAGCTACCCGGGCACCTTGAGTCGTTGCAAATGTCCGGCATCAAACACCGCCGCAGAACACCACCGGCGGTCGTCCTGTCCAGTCCCGTGACCACCCCAGAGCTAGTGGCCACCGACGTGGGCGGTTTCAGCTGGGTAACCGGAATCCGGCGCCACTACCCGATGAAGTCGCGCGAGACGGTCACCTTTCCGTTGACGGCCGCATTCTCCATGGCCGGGACGTACAATGTGGCCGCCCTTGAAGTGAGCGTCCTCACGGACGACGGCCGCCTCTCCCACGAGCCACTGTGTCCGAGCCTCGTGGTGGTGCAGCAGCACCGGGCACCGTAGGGGTCCCTCGCTTGCTTGCTCGTAAACTTACAAGCGTCCTTCACCCACTCCAGTTTTAGGGAGGGGAGCTGGCCGGCTTCCGTACATCCAACACCGGTGTGAAGACTGACTGCGGCCCTGGCACTGTAGTTACGAGACGACTGGACAAACCAACGTTTCAGCGCGGTAGAGTTTTGTGGAAACTCCACTGGCACGGACCCTGCTGCATCGTTTTATTGCTGTTGCAGTGCAAGTGGCGAAGCCTTGTTTCAGAGAGGTTATCGAGTCGAACGATTCATAGTAGTCACGTAGACGCCTTTGTTTAGAATGAAGTCACGTTTCCCCATGTGGCCTTGCCTGAACTCAACTTCATCACTCTGTGCATAGAGTAGAATGTACCAAAGGTCAGTAGAGATAACTGTGTGCACATGAAGCGTGCCGGGAGTGTCGAGTGCATCTGCAATGTTTTGGCGGCAAGCTTCCACCGGGCAATGGGGAATTTGGGTGGAGGGTTCAAAGTGTGGAGGAGCGTGTTGAATTTTATGCCTTCTTTTTCTCCCATCTTTTGATTGAGTGCATCAGAATGGGTAGATGAGAATGGGCCGATGTGTATGAAGATATTTGAGTGTGTTTCTCTATTTGACTCAGGTTTTCAGATCGGTTCGACGTCTAAGGAAGAATGTGCCAGAGGCATAAAGTGCGAGTGCCGTAGAGGTTGCTGCACTAGGAAATGTTCAGCATTCTCCGAGATGTTTCCGAAATTTTTGTGAGTTTCAGAATACTATCTTGCAGCAACTGCTGCAGTTGTGTGTGTGTGTTTTTTTTTTTTTTTAACTTGTTCTAGCACATTGTTTTGAATATAGTCTTCATTAGTGGAGATCTTTTAAAGATGATTTGCCACTCAACAGTGGTAAACGAAGCCTGGTTTGTGTATGAATGTAGTTAAAGTAAAGTTATCAATAAGTTCACATAGACTTTCGACATACATTAATGGGCTGCTGAGTGATATTGTATGAGGTGTAAAACGCATGCCTCTAGTCAGCATGTCATTTTGATGGTAACCAAGTTGCTCAGATACAAAGAGATATGTCCACATACTTCCTGGCATGGCGAACAAGTGCTAGGCACAAACATCCTTTGCAGAACTTTGCTAAACGTTGGTAAACTAAGCTTGTTTGCCCACTAAAATTTGTTTTGTTGCCTTTGTGTGCAATGCGGTACATAAGGTCTTTGTATTGTTCTTATTTACCTGCAACTGTTAGTATGACTGCTCTTTTATACAATATGTGTAAGATAAAAAGATGTTATGTAAATAAAACATTTGTATTAGGTTCCCAACTACAAGGTTGCAGAGTCTTGTGCATTTGTTAGGCTGCTCTCATCAAGAACTGGTGCCTGGTCTTTTTTCCTCTCTCCAGCTCAAAGATGCTACTGATTTTTAGACACACGTATACATAGGCTATGCCACTATTTTTCTTGCTTTGCCACAAATAGCATGAGTGATACACAACACGAGGAAATATGAGCACAAACATAGTTAAAGTGATGCCACTCAACGCAAGTTTACCAACATTAAAATGACTTCAATGACATAGTATCCTCATACCTTGCAGACACTGGACACCCAAAGGAAGCAACCAATTGTTCTAGGGTTGCACTTTGGTTCAATACATGTGGTGGGGGACCATGAAAGGGGGTGATGGAACTGCTTCAGGCCCCTGATCCCATACACAAAGTAAAGAAATTGTCACCGTGATCAGAGTTGGGCTTTGTTGCGGTGATGTAATGATTTATTGCCAAAATTATATTATTTAGCGATGCTTCGGTAAGCACTAGCGATACATCTATTAGTGCTGGAAATGGCAGAGGAATGCTTATTTATTTATCTTTTGTTGAAGAGGACCGAATAGGCCCCACACTTTGTCGCAGTAAGTAGTAAGCGGAGTGCACGGGAGAAAATTTTAATGCAGACAAAAACAGCACCGGTCTATATTTTTGACAACCGAAGGTGTAGCATAAAAGTAATGGAACACAAACGGGACAAGTAACTCAACATGAGCACAAAACCATGCATGAGCACATAGAGAGAGTTTGCTCGGATATGACATTGGTGCTTTGTGTTAAACACCCTCCTGTCCAGGTTGCTGCCCTAGATGGTTCACCACACCAGTGGTATGGTAGGACAACATATTTTTTCCCACAGATTACCACATGTTTAGTCTAGCTGTATCACGCTTGTGTGAAACAGGGAGTAAACAAATCCACTCTGTTTGGACTGAGCAGTTGCCACCGGTGTCGGAGCCCAGGTAATAACAGTTCTTTTATTCGGTGTGTCATTTCCTATATTGGCAGCTCATGCTTAATGTTTCAGCCAGACCTTCAGGTGATGACAACAGTGCCTCAAGTGTACCGGCTGTTGTAGTTTCTACAAGACTCATTGCTACGAAATTATGTAAATCCTATAAATTCAAGATGGTGATTCTTCCTACACTCTGCTTCCATGTCAGAAGAGTTTCCGAGACTTGGGAAGCCTCTTGATGTACTGCCAGTAGTTGAATTGAAAGGATCGGCTGTTCATGCGGTCAATGTAGAGACAGCCTTCCAAGTGGTCAATCTCGTGCTGAATTATCCGGGCAGGCCAACCACGAGCTTGCCACTCATGGTGTTCCCCGTGTTCATTCAATCCTGTAAAACAGCCCAAAATCGGAAACGTTTTTATGAAACAACAGCTCGCCTTTCACACTGAGGAAACCTGCAGGGTCTGGCACAAAAGTAAACGAGACTCTATTTTTAAAATTTGTTACAAAGTTTGTAAGACTTCAATGTGATCTCCCTAGAAGTTCCTAGGGGCTAATTGCTCCCTTTGGAAGCAACAAGTCACTATGAAGTAGTTCATACATTTATGTCATGCTTTGCTGTTCAGTGATATTGCTTCTCTTATTTTCATAATGCAGTCGACGAACATGCTATCGCCTATTCCACAATTAGTCTCGGCTCGCCCAACAATTGAGTCACATTTTTGTCAGCAAGGTTCCAAGCTATCGGCTCGACTACAGTTTTGATGTTAGAAACCGAGTCTCGCCACTTTTGTGGCACACCCTGTATTTGTTCAAAGATTACTGGCTTTGTTTTTCATACCTGAAATTTTCACTTCATAGTACCGGGGCACCTCAGCACTGTAACCTCGAATGCTTTCGCAACCTTCCGGAAAGACAAGCTGCTGGTTGTTGACGACTTCCATAGTGGGATTAATAAACACCTTCGAATAAGAACAAAAAACCCAACTTTTATGTAGAGTCATTACTGTTAGAATTTCGAGATACCGCACTTCCTTTGGTTGTACACTGCGCAACAGTGTTGGCTCAAACAAGCCGTCGCCGGTTTTCTCATTTGTGGTACTAACCTAAGTGGTAGATGTTGCATGTCCGCCCATGGGTGTCTAAAAGGGGAGTGCAAAGGTGTGTCCCCCCACTTAGTATTTTGGGAGTAGTGACGAGTTGTTTCGGTGGCGTACGTTGTGGTCACACTGCTAATACACCTTAAAAAAGACCATCTGCAGAGGGCTTTCTTGCATGACAGTCCTGCCACATTGATCATACAAAAACCTGCCTGCAGACATGTTCGAAGAAAGGAAACATGCTTCGAACATGGCGCGTCCGCAGGTAAAACACCGTGTCTTCTGTACAATGGACGAGCGGTGTGATGGCACGACTAGGATTATCAAATGCGAATGACAAGCTCGATGGTATGTGTAACAAGCACGGCAAAAGCTTAAAACCATCGTGCTCATAAAACCAACACCGTCAAAGTTGACAGTCTGACATCGCTCCTATCTCTGCCGATGAAAGCAGAATAGTATGGCCAAAGGATTCCCATCCTACCAAACATTATAGTGCCCATTTTATCAATGTCGGCTTGTCGCGACAACGCTTTTGCCCCGTAATTCCAAAGTTCTTCCATCTAAAAAAAGAAAATGGCTCTCCAGGACAAAAAGGGTTTGCCCCACATCCACCTGAAAGAATGTTTTGCAGACACCCATGTGCCAGTCAGTATCCTTTAGAGGTAAAATGCGAAAAAGCGCCGAGGACGTGTTCGCGCTAACAGTGTTGCACAGTGTGCAAGGTGTGCGTAAACTTCATTCATGGAGCAGTGAACAATGCAACAGAGAAGAGTTAACAGTGGAGCACCTACACACAATGTAAGCGCGCGTTATTACTAGGGTTCGGAGTTTTCAGTTTAAACCGATAAAACTAAGCCGAATCCATTCTCTAAAATTCTGTTTTAACCGCAAATGGTCAGTATTTTAGGGTTGCATTGAGGTGGGCGGGGGGAGGGTAGGGGAGAAGCAGGGGAGAGAGGGCATTGCAAGGTTCAACATTGTGTGACTACTTCGTGATTGCCCTCTTCCAAGGTTCAACATGCAACAAAAGAGGCCTTGGATTGGCCTTCAAGGGACATCCGCGTCCTTTCTGTGATCGGAAATGTCAAATTCCTGGTCCTAAAAAAAGATGGGTGTGGGCTAGTATAAGGCTTTTTAGCTTCATGCAAGATCTGCAGCCAGAGTTTGGTGAGTACACAAAATATGTTGCGCTTCTAAACATCGCACCGTGTCTCTTTTTAAAGTCACATTTGGTTGATTGGCCGATTCTGGATCAGGCAGCGCTTCATCTCCTCAGCATGCCAGTGTAAACGTTGAGAGGGCATTCTCAAAGCCCATGCTCATTAACAGGAAACAATGAGCGTGGATACGCAAGGAGAACCTGGGAAAGTACATATGTGTTTACTATAATAAGATCACGTAATCCTGATGTACAGAAGGTGAAGTTCCATGGTTTTGGGCACTGACTTGTTTGTACTTCTGTGTGTGTGTGTGTTTTTTTGTTTACAGTTGCAAACATTTGCCAAATAAAGTGTCAATGTTTTCTTTTTTTTAATGTATTTGTGCCATTATTCCTTGAGGGATCATAAATATCAGTTACAAGGATCATCTGATCCGGTGTTCGATGGTGTTTCTTTCACATTCACCGAAAAAACCCGGTAAACTTTTGTGGACATAAATATACACCGAAAAAAAAAAAAAAAAACGAAAATTGAATCTTAAAGTAAACACCGAAAAAAGTACGCCGAATTTTGAAAAATGACCAAAAATGACTAGACCTTGTCAACCAAACCTGGGAAAGCGAAGTCAGTACGAGTGCAGGTGAGCTAATTAAAGTTAAATCCTGCCGTGATTAACTTCCATTAGCTTGGGAAGCCGGAAAATTCGTTTTAAAACGTATTCCCCGGCACTGCAGTCCAAAAAAGTCTTTAAAATGAATTCCTCAATCCCTGAATAGGGGAGAAGAAACTCCCCAGTTGGGGAATTTATGATGTAAAAGGGATAGAAGTGGACAGACTAATGTCTTTTCTACTTTGTATTTTCCTTCCCAGGCTCAGGGTTCAAATACCATGATTAAAACGCACCACCTCGCCTGTATTTTGACCATTTTTAGGGGGGGAATTTGTTCCCTCCCATTTGGTATTGATATTATTTATTGCACTTGACAGGTAGAAATGTACAGGCGTGCTGGTGTTGGGGGAAGGCTGACGCCACAAAACCGACCTATACACTCTTACAATATACAAAATGATAAAAAAAAAAGAATTAGTGTGCAAAGGTGAAGATGGATCCGAGGTGGAAAGAAGCACATGGCGTTTTAATGGCCCATACCTTCAATGGAAACGCTTGGTAGAGCCTCGCCGTCATATCTTCCTTTTTTGCCATCCTAATGTTCGAGTTTGAAAACTCCATCATCGTAATTTGCAGTGGGCACCCAATTTGAGGCGCTGATATGCCCACGGAGTACGTTCCTCGCATCACTTGCCTCATTGTGTGAATGACCTATATGATGAGAAACCACGCACATTGGGGTATTTCCAGGCATCGCAATAAGGCTAAAATTGTGAAGCGTAGCGTTTTAATTGTAACGTACCTTTCGGATTTCAGGACTAGTAATTTTTTGGGGGTCCACCGGTTCGGCACGAACTCTAAGCACGGGGTCTCCAACTTGACACATAAACTCGTAAGGCGGAACAGGATTTGATGTAGCTCCGAAACTTTTGATTTTGGTTATGAGGCGAGAATAAATGCTCACCGATTCTTTCAAAGCCATTTTGAACTCAAAATGGTGCTATACATTACCAAAATAACGATCAGTACCTGCGAGGGATTCTATCGAGGCAACCACAGTGGCTTCTGCTTTCGGGCAGCGAGGAAAATCGAATCAGAATCGGTAGACGGTTTCGTATCGGTATTATGCACTACTGTAGATATAAAACAAAATAATAACTCATTTGAACATAACACATTTTATAAAATGTTAAAAAAGTAAAAACGTAATGATATTATTTGAACTGGCTAGTCGCCCAGTGCTCTATGGCCCAGAGTCGACAGTGTTTCGATTTCGCCGTTTTGGGGGTCTGCGAGGTTTTTCCAGTTTTGGTTTTACGGCAAACACTGTGCGGCAACCCAAACAAACGTCTCGTTTGCGTTCTATGTCGAAGCCTAGGTCGTCGGTAGCGGCCCTGGTATCTCTTTAATCCTACTAGAACACACAATCAATTCAAAATGGTAAGTTATTTTTGCAGTTTTGGTCACTCTCTAGAACTTCTATAACTGCATAGTTTTTGCTCAAGAGTTAAATTGCTCTAAATATTTGCTTCTGAAATTCGCCGGTAGCGCGCAGCGTCTTCCCGGCAAAAGTTCACGTCCTATGACGCGATTGCTGCGAATTCTGCTAATGCGCGTCCTTTATGTTATTTACAGACGATCAGTAAGAACAACAAGATGCTGCAGCACATAAACTACCGGATGCGAGTGATCCTGCAGGACAGTCGCATTTTCATCGGAACATTCAAAGCGTTCGACAAACACATGAACCTCATCCTTGGAGATTGCGAGGAGTTCCGCAAGGTAAAGGGCAAAAACCAGGCGAAACAAGGCGATCGCGAGGAAAAGAGAGTCCTCGGTCTGGTTCTTCTTCGTGGGGAAAACATCGTGTCGCTGACCGTGGAAGGGCCCCCACCACCCGAGGTACGCCGGCGTTGCTCTGTTGGTACTCGCGCTCATGCTGACGCCCTGTTTTTGCGGACTGTTTTTCAGGAGGGCCTGCCGAGGGTGCCCATCCCTGGGGCGACGCCAGGCCCGGGTATTGGACGCGCCGCAGGCAGGGGTGTGCCTGCAGCTCCAGTTGGTGCTGCGCCGGCAGGTATGTGCAAGCTCGGACATCGCTTCTGTATCGAACTTGTTCTTGCACGATGTCATCATTATGCGGAAAACGTGCTGTCTCACGTGTGGCAAACTTGGATCTGTGGTGCTTGTCGTTGTAGGTCCTCATTGGCAGTGAGCTGAGCTGTGCCATGTGTATGAATTTATGAAGGATGTGGGGGGGGGGGGGGGGGGGGGGTAGCATTCTCTTCCTGAGCAATGACTACGAAGTGTTGCTTGATGCACGTCTACCGAGACTGGGAATGTAAAGAGTATGGGCCGATTTCTGTCAGAAGTGCAGCAATCTGCTTTATATCAAAAGACAACCACTTCTTGCTCTACGTGTGGGTGAGAAGGCGGGCAAGCTACTGTTTTTGTAACGAGGTCCAAGGCCGAGATAACAGAGCATTGTCTGTGTTTCTTTCTCTGTGATGACTGCCTTGGGTTTGCTAAGTTTCGGAATAATTTGTTGTCATTGGCTCTTCCACTTTCACCAAACTCACAGTCTTGTCACGGTGAATGTTCATCAGCAGTAGTGTATGTCAGTAATGCAGTGCCATTCAGAATATTGGATTGCTACATACATGCCTTGCATGGGACATCACTTGGGTTGCTGTCCATGAGCCAGTGTCCCCTCCCCTTCCTCTCTTGCAAGTTTGTGACATGTGTGCTTTAAGTGCATGGGTGCAGGAGCAGAGGGAGGTCACTCTCCACTAGTGACAAATGTTGCATGTCACATCTGTCAGAAATGTGGAATGGGTGATACTTTGGTGTTATCTTCCTGCAGTCCTCTTGTGTGTATATAGTACGGCTTGACTGTGTACACCTTGACATGAATACTTCTGTTGCCCTAAGCACTGGAGAAGTGATGTTTCGCTGACATGCAGCATGAATCATCTTCTGTCACTTGTGTTCAAGGAATGAGGTGTGATGGTATTTTTCATCTAGCGTGACTGAAAGGTGGCCATAAAAACGAACACCTTTGAGCATTGTATGACTGCTGAATTCTGTGTTTGTGCTTCCCGTCCATGGCACTCTTAGCAGCGTCTCACTTTCATTTATTTATTTATCCTTAAGGGCCCGGGTGGGGCATTACATAAGGGGGGGAGTAGACGAGAACTAAAATACACTTTGACACTTGAAAACGACAAAAATAGGAAAAGGAGAGAGTCAAAATAACAATAGTAAAAAACACAAAGTACTGATATGGTTTAGTCGGGAATGGTTAGTGGTTGTGTAAAGAGACTTCCTGGCGAAACCTTATTGGGTCAGTAATGACTACAATGTCGTCGGGAAGGGAGTTCCAGATGGCTATTGCATGAGGGAAAAAGGAAGTGTTGAAGGCAAGCGTTTTGCCTGCAATACGCTTGATGCATTGACTGTGATTAAGGCGTGATGATACTCGGTCTGGAGGAGCAAGAGGGGTGGTATGGGAGTATGGATAGTTATAGTAGAACTTATGCAATAAACATAACCGAGAGTTCAATCTTCGACTGGACAGTAAGGGTAGTTCTAGAGTTTCTTTAAGTTGGGTCACACTGATGTCATGAGTATAAGCTGATGCGATGAATCGGGCTGCGCGGGTTTGTATGCGTTTCAGGTTATCAGAGAGGTAAGCTTGAGAAGGGTGCCAGATGGATGACGCATATTCAAGCTTTGGTCGAACGAATGTTATGTATGCAAGTTTCTTAAGTTGACTGGGCGCGGACTTTAAATTACGTTTCAGGTATCCAAGTGTGCGTGATGCCTCAGCTATAATATTATCGACATGCAGAACCCAAGAAAGCGTTGAGGTTCAATTTACTCCTAAGTACTTATAAGAAGTTGAAGTATTAATTGGGGTGCCGCCGAGTGAATATAATACACTTGGAGTTCCACTTGTGCACACATTTAGTCCATGTAGAAGCGACGTGTGGTTGCACTTTCATTCAATCTATGCTTTCGATGCTGCTTGGTGGTCTCGATTTGCATCATTGAAGCTCACGGTGGAAGGAGAAATATGTGTCTGAACAATGCCGCTTCGCCATGGAACAACTGTGTTGAAAGTTTACTCGCATTTCTGGCAAGCGCCATGATATGCGCAACATGAAAGGTGCTTGGGAAATCGTCCTTGTTTGCGTACACATTTTCAAAGCTGTGCTGCGCATGACCGCACCTGTGCAAAGGTTGTGCGGCGAGCGATTCCGTGCTTGCGTGAGAGCCTGAAACCGATGGTGCACTTGCGAGGAGATGAAATGAGTGAAATTTCAGCCCCCTTTCTTGCCTTATTCAGACACCTCTCTTGTTCTACTATAGTGTAGCTATTTGTTGTCACGACCGGACAACCAGCCATGCAACTGACAGAGTAGGAGTGTAGCAATTGGATCAGGGAGCTGCAAATAGGGCACAAATCGGACGAACGTGCCTGAAACCGCATATGCCCACAGTTCACGGATAAAACAAAGCTGCTTTTGATCATCCTTTTTGCCACGGACCTGTTCCGATGTTGCAGTTCATGGTTTTAACATTCTGGAGGGTAGGTGTTTGCGATCTGCGGTTGGGATTTTCGTAGAGGTGGGCGATCTGTCGTTTTTCTAAATTGATATTGTGCCCAAAACATGGTATTAAGCTTGGTTCATAGCAGCTCTTGTGTAATCTTTCTAGCATTGCTTCTAAAAAATTGGAAGTATTGCACTTTTTAAGTTGCCCCAATATTTCTTGGTAAAAAAAGTGTCCTAGCAGAAGGTTCCATTGCCTCACGTATTGGCGACCCTAGCGAAATGGACACCGTGTAGCGGGAACGCCGAGAAGCTCGAGAGGAGGTCGTTTCGACTCTGTCGTCTGCTATCGCTGCTTGGTTCTCATAGGCGGTGTCCCCGCAGGGGGTGCCTACACCTTCGGTGTTAGGTGCTTGGTGAGTAGCGCCACCACGGACCCCAGCCACGCGGGCCACCATACCCGCACGCAGGGGGCACCTGCCTTGGTAGGTGCTTGGTGAGTGGCGCCACCGCGAACCCCAAGCTATGTGGGTTTACCCACCCACGCCTGGCTGTGCTTGGCTTAACCCGTGTCTGGGGAAAAGAGGACCCTGGTGGTTGAGCTGAGCCCGGGGTATGTTTGGACTTTTCGGGGCCCCCCGGGCGAGGCAATACACCGCTTCGACCTCTGCTTCTCATAGACGGGTGTCCTGGCTTGGCCCAACCAGGATGATTCAGTCAGTCGCCTCTTCTACCCTCTTCTTCCTTCTTTCACTTTTCCTCCCACCTCTTTCTCTTTTCTTCTACACTCTCTTCCTTCCTTTTTCACCTTTTTAGGCGGCAAAGGCCAACCTTGAGTGGAAACAGGTCCTGTCCCTGCAACCACACTAGGGTATAGTGCCCGGACAGCACTGGTAAAGTAATTGTGTCAGCCAAGCCCTTCTTGCTATGGCACATTACCTACCCCCTTGTTGGGCTCCGTGGTGGGCGGTGCACCCGGGCACTGAATTTTCCTCCCATCTCATATGGGTCTGCGCAACAAAAACTTTCTTGATCGGCCTCTGAAAAGAGGTCGCACCGAAGCTCAAGTCACTCTCGAAACATCCATTGTACCTGAAAAATTTCCAAAATTTCTTGTCTTGCATTCTGAAGAGGAAAAACCACTTTCTAAACTGTCCCCTTTCCTGGTCGCCAAGGCACTGGAAGGAATCGTTGGAAAGGATTACTCTGCAAAAAAGATGGCGTCCGGTGACCTTCTAGTTGAGATCAACACCAAAAAGCAAAGTGAGGCCCTTCTTTCTCTCAATGCTGTGTCTGACTATAAGGTAAATGTTACTCCACACCATAAACTTAATACAGTTCAAGGAGTTATTTCAGAGGACGACCTAATGGACGCATCTGACGAGGAACTTGTCGAAGGCCTTTCAGACCAAGAAGTAGCTGCTCGACGCATCACCCTTCGTCGTGAGGGCGTGGAGCGAAAAACGACATGTTATACTGACTTTTGACGCCACTACACTTCCAGAGACCATAAAGGCAGGCTACATCCAGTGCCGTGTTCGCCCCTATGTGCCGAACCCTCAGCGGTGCTTTAAGTGCCCAAGGTTCGGGCATGGGTCACGGAGCTGCCGAGGAAGTGATACTTGCGCGAAGTGCTCCAGTAAAGAGCACGTCGCTGACTGTTGCGAGAACGATCCAACATGTGTCAACTGTGAAGGTCTTCATCCAGCTTACTCACGCTCTTGTCCGAAATGGAAAGAAGAAAAAAATATTGACTCTGAAGACCTGAGAAAACATCTCCTACCATGAGGCGAAAAAACGTTTTTCCTTCTTATCAAAAGGAGGATATGCCGAGGTCGTGCGCAGGGGACCCGCATGGCCTATGATGGCGTCGGCGGGAACACAGACTCCTCCAGAAGGAGTGTGTCTCCCGTCAGTGTCCCATCTAAAACCCACGAGAGCGGTGCCAGCTGCACTGCGCCCCAACCACGCGGTGGACGCTGTTCCTTCAATGTCCACCCTGAAGCGGGGGACGGCACTCCCCGCCGCCCCTGCCTCCCTGCCTCCGAAAGGCCGGGGGCAACCCCGTGTCTTGAGCCATCAGAGAGCTAGTGAGCCGTTAAGGCTGCCGACCCCGGCGGGTCTCCCCCCGGCTCCCCCTGAGGAGCCTATGGACGAGGGTGGACCCAAGCCCGGCGAGGAAAGTCTCCTCGCGGGATCTGACTCCTCCCTTTCTGCCACCAGTGACTCCACTGGCCAACAGAAAGAGGCTTTAAAGAAGAAGAATGCACCGCGCAAAAAGATAGATATTAACCCATAGTCATCTCATTTAACTTTTTACCGGTTTTTATATTCACTTCGCACTGGCTAAGCATATAGGTATTATGCAGTGGAACTGTCGCGGCCTTCTACGTAACATAGATGACATCAATTCATTTTTTTATGAGCTCCGCCCTGTTGCTATTTGCCTACAGGAGACTTACCTGACTTGCACACGCAGGTTTTGCGTCATCATCAAGTTTTTAGAAAGGACCGCCATTCCTCA